TATGGCATAAATGGACTGCCAAGGTTGCAGTTAACTTATCAAGATAAAAGTAGCCTTACTTTACTTATACTAATGCACTGCTGTATTTCATAAATAACATCAGCTATATCCAAGAGATTACATTATTGAAATCATAAAACTGGCATTCATAATTTATTGCCTTAATTACTATTATGGTTTTGTCTCTGAAGTACACTACCATCCAGAATTTCTATTTACCATGCAGTTTTATAACAGTATTTGTACACTCATCAAGGCCATAACTGTCAGTGAATATGAATATAAGTTATTAACAGCCTATATTCAAATGCACCAAACAACTGTTCAGTCCTGCAAAAGAACTGAACTAAATCAGCCAAAACATAAAGTATTTTTTTTCCTTCTTTTTAATTGCAGGAGGTGTCTGGGATGAGGGAAGACGGGAAGATGATCCTAACTGGATGGATTCACAGTTATAACTGTGTATTCATACTAGCGTCAGTAAAAATATATACCTTAGCCTGGATATTATGTAAAATAGCATGCATTCCACTGGAAGATCTATGAGAAAGTTTTATGTAACACTGGATGTAAACGTGTAATTCATTTTTAGACGTAAAATTGTTACATATTCTGTGATGTAACCATACTTGATTATCACAAATAATGGCTTCTGGCGGTAAAATTCTCAATCGTACAATACCTCACTGATGCAGAACGCTGTTGCTTCTCTTCGCGTTATTTTGTATTTCCAAAGGCGAAGGATCTTCGGTGGTAGTTATCTTCAACACCGTACAAACCGGAGGCTCAAAAGCTGCAGTCTCCGGAGAAAAGGCGACGTAACGAGCCGGTGTGACGCTGTCCGGAGCGCCCGTCTATGTTCCAGTGCGCGGTGCGTGGACAGGTGACCGTGCGCTCTGGAGCTCCGCTGCCGCTGACTGCCGCTGCCTCTGTGTCCGCGTCCGGACTGGAGACTCATATAGCTGCGAGCGCGTGCGTGCGTGTCCGTGCGCGTGCGTGAGGGGGGGATTAGTGAAAGGAAAGACGGAGTGGTTCCCTGAGGATGCGTTGAGTGCAGGAAACGCAGCTCAAGGGGTGGGCTGATCCGAAGAGGGATAGAGATGGGACTGAAGAGACTATCCGAGCGTGTTTGCCCCATGCGCAAGAGTTGTGGCCAAATATGGGCACTTAAATGTCTTAAAGCGGAGTGAAAAGTGGAAAGTTGACTATCAAAAATGCACACAAGAATAGTGTCCAGATTAGGTCTGAAATTATTAATCCAAAAATGAATAATAAATCAAAAATGAAAAATGTATAATGGCGTCTGGCTAGGCCTATCTAAAATAATAGTTGACGAAAATATTTTAAGAGCCAATAATCACATTTTAGAAGAAAAGCAGGGACATTATTAACCAAAAATAGAAACATTTTATGATTTTAATAAAATAACCTTGAAGCCTACAGTCAGCATATTTTACCTAGTTAAAATGTTATTGTAAATCTCAGTATGGACCTTGAATTTATTATTTGCTTTGAGTAGCTTAATATAAACAAGAACTTTACTAAAACAGCAGTTATCTTACTTGCAGGCCTAGTTTAAACTATAGACCTATTCAATAAACTAGCCTATGTTAATACGTTTACAAAAGGCTTTGAAAAGTACTGCCAACAAGAAATTTATGATAAAGGCCAGGGAGAAATCCTCATGCACGCAGAAAAGGTCTGTTATGGATTTAACCTATAAATAATAAATAGGCTACCACTTCTCCAAGTTGTGATGAGGACACACTAACAACAGTTAACTGATTTCGGCAAAGCATGGAGGTTTTATTAGTTGACCTTTTTTAGACAAAATCTGATGTGGTATAGCCCATTTTCTTGAGTGTGCATGCTGGGAGATGAAGCAGGCCTCACATGCAGGAGGTGTGAAATGGTGGGGAAATTGGCTGTTCTCACCATCCGAAAAAGCCCTGAAACACTTAAGTCCCTGGAGACTGTATTGATCATGACGAACAGAAGGTCAAATGGCTCACCTTTACTGTAGGCTACCATTCATATAGGCTACACTGAGGCTTTACGGACCTCTGAAATAATGGTGACGACTCTTAAGGTATGTTGGACACTTGCGCTGCATCAAAATTGTGACTAAAGTAAACCTGGAACTAAAATTGGACGGAATCAGAAGTAAACCAGGACTTGAGCAGGACCAAAACCAAGTCTACATCAGGCTACAAGTGGGCTCAAACCAGGACCAGACAGGACTAGTGTAAACCTTTACACTCATTTGAGGACCAGCAGATGGTAGAGATGCTGCTTCATTGCAAATCCTATGTATATTTGTACTATAAAAGTCTCTAGAAACCCCTCCTGACTCCTGGCAATCACATATAATTTCTAATCCAGGAAGTCCACGCTCTCACCGTCCATATTAATCAGATGTCATTTACAGAGCTTCATATTTGATGAGGAGGCTCTGGATTATACAGCTGACTGTGTTAATGTACGACAGTGTTCCAGCAGATTAGTGATGTTCTTTTAATAAAGCACTGAACACTCTCAGCGGTTTAACAACCAGCGTTAACAATTTTATGGTGTCAAAAATTGTCTACATTTGTTCTTCCATCTAGAGAACAGAAATCAATACGAGTGGGTGATAGATGTGTGCTGACATTTGTGAGATCTGTGCTTAAATAAAAATAGTAACGAGTAAAAATGGATAATCTGAAGAAATTCTGACAAGTCACAAGTATTATCTTTTGTGATTTGACTCAAAATAGTCCAGAATCATCGTAAGTTTTTGCTTGTGACATTTTTTTTGAGACGTCACATTGTCAAAAGTATCCGAAAAATCAAATTGCAATCACTGGTATTGAAACTAGATACTCATTTGAACCGACTGATACTAAAAAAGTCACACTCACAGGACAAATGAACCTTTCCTGAACAGTTTTAGAATTATCTTGAGCTGTATCAGAACCATATACTGATAATTCTTATACATACATGCACATGGATCACTATGGAACCCACCACCACAATTGAGGGATTACACACGTATAAGGCCACATGGTAATATAAAAGAAAGTACTACAATTTAATGCTGAAAATCACATTCTTTTGCCTGAATAAAGAGTGTTTTTTTCATTATCATTATCATGGTATTGGAATCTGTATTAAGTAGACTCTATTCCTTTGTATCAAAATCGAGTTTGAAACTATGCAATGACATGTAAAACTTTAGTTATTTTAGGTTATGATCATTTTAATATCAATTTAATTACTATTGTGTAAAATAAAATACTATTGGGAGAAAACAAATAATTCCACATCTGGAGGAGGTGCATGGAGTGAGCTCGCGTGTGAGTGCGTGGACAGAGTCAGTTTGATGTGGATATACCGGCAGCACTTAGAGACAGGCCCTTACTCAGCAATCATCATTAATGCATAAATCACATTTCAGATGAGAGACGCAGGCTGTGGACAGAGGTCTGGACCACACAGTAACACAAGAGAGGGAACGCGAAGGGAACTTTGCACTTCTTCAGATCTGCACTCCAACACAACTGAAGTTAAAATTCCTATATTATACAAAATTGATTTGTGAGCTTTGTTGTTACCTCCTCAAAACCATACCTGGAGTTGTGTTTTGTTTCATTCACACATGTTCATAAGTCGACATCTCCAAAGCTCCATATGTCATGAAGTGGTAGTTTTGAAGTTAACAGCTACCTTTTACAAAAAATTATTCTAGTGAAGGTATATGGAGTTATAAAATACAGTGATGTGTTTTCAGACTGAGAAAAGAACTAAACAAACAAAATTAAAAGCCTAAATATGCAGGGTTTGTGTGTTAAACATGTGTGACTGATACAAAACACAACTCCAGGTATGTTTGTGATGAGAAAACAACACTATAACATATAGGTCAGGAAAGGCAAAGGACAAATTGTATTTCTCCTATGCCATGGATTCTACTGACGACTGACGGATTTTTCACACATAAATCAGGAAACAGCGTAGTATGGGCACTTTAAAGTACATTTTTCAGAAGATGCAGTCTAAATGAGATCTTGATGAGTAAAGGAGAAGATAAAAATGTATATATGAATATGAAATATATACTATATGGACAATGTTAAAAATATTCCGGACTAGAATCATTTAAAGTCCTGATTTAGACCGATATGATTGTCAACATGCCCCCCTGCCCTGCCCTCCCTCTGTGTGTGTGCTGCATGCCCCCTGTGTGTGATCCAGGCCACTGTCCCTACAGTATGTGGCTCTAATGGAACAGTGAATGGGAGAAGTCCAGGCTGTTGTGTGGATCCAGGTCAAGTGTGCGCACAAGAGCAGAAGTGAGTGGGGGCTTAAGATTAACACTGCAAAAATACTGCTTTGTTTACTGTCATGACTGTTTGATACATTTATAGCTGACCTAAATTTAAACTGCAACAAAGGTATTATTACGCTCCGCCGAAATACCTCTGTCACTCAAGCAGACTTTGTAGTATCAGCTGTGATTATTCATGTGAATTGCTAAAGTTTTGTTTTATAACCACGCATTTGTATTTCTGTTTTGGACTGCTGGTTTTACTTTACATTTAGAAAATTTAACCTTTCAAATGAAGAAGGAGTTGAGCTTGGAGTAGAGACGCTGCTCCTTTCTACTCCCTGAAGAGCTATTTGGGATGTTTTACATACCTCCTTTAAACTTCGGAATGGCCTACTTTTTTCGATTTCTTTATTTGCTCTTGTGGACAATAACTGATATTTGCAGATACCAATAAATCTATAGCAACCACAAAGAAAAGCTGTAGCAATGTTAAAAGTTGCTGTCCTTTATATGGTTTATACATCTCTTTTATTTCATTGCTCTTCAAATATTATGATTATCATTTACCTTATAGAAAGATTCCTCAGAAACTGTGCCTTTGTCCAATACAGATATATGAAAAAATCTCCAGATATCACTAATATCACTATTACCATTGATATAATGTCCATACCTTCTTGACACCTACCTGAACTTCAGACAGAACCCACTTGGATTTGCAGAGCAAGGACAAGAATCGTGTTCATAAAACCAATTCTCAGTTGGTGGAAGTAGGTGCATCTTTGCTTAGTCATCTGCCTCCACAGCCCAGCACTGGATCAAACACACACAATAAATAAATAAGTAAATAAATAAATAAATATATTGATTAAAAAAACACAAAACAGATTTCCACTTGTAGACTATGAGTGGACAGAGTTTTGTGCCCACTGTCATCTGCCACCTCCTCTAAACAGGAACAAGAATTTGAGAAACATTGGCACATTTGTTAGAGATCCTACATACACAGTGAGCTTTCATATCTTCAAACTCTTGAAAGTCATGCTAAAGCCATCTGCCTGATAAGTGTGTGGCTGGAGGGATAAAAGTCGCTTCAACACAAAGGAGATAGAAAGACTAATGGCCTGACCATGCTCTAATGGAATCAGCTGTATGTGTGTGTGTGCGTGTGTGTCTCTGTGTGTCTGTGTGTGCGTGTGTGTGTATGGAGCATGTCTTATTCAAAGGTGCAGGGTGCAGGTCTTTTTTCTATTTGCAGCTCTGTGCGCTAACATGTGGATGTCCACTCACGTGGGAAAACTGTAGATCCTGGCTATGCTTTTTGTCAGGGACTACCCATGCAAACGACTCCCTAATTATTTGGTTGATTTATGATACAATAGTATACAAGATCTAAAGAAGTTAGCACCTGGTTCTAGGGCAAATTGAGAGTGGGTGTAGTTTCCTCTGGTTTCCTCTACCACTAAACACATCTAAGCCCACAGTAACTGGGGCCAGGACAACCTTGTATGAAGAAATTCATTCTAAATCCCAATAAGACTTGAAATGAATATAAATAACGCCCTCTTTCTTCCATCATCCTTCTAGTCCTGTTGTAAAGTCCATTGTGGTCTACTCTACCGTATACTATATGCATTATCAAATGAGATTTCTGTACGTGAGCCAGTGAGTAATGGAGTCTCTAATAGAAAAACAGCACCCTCTTCCGGTCAAAATGTAGTATGACAACTAAAGCATTCTTGTCTGCCATCCTCTACAATTCAGAAGAAAAAGACTGTTTACACTTTGCATAGATTGCACTACAAGAAAAAAAGTCAAAAGACATTTATTTTTTAGGGGAAATCAAAGGAATGTAATGAAAAAGACCCCCCCAAAACAGAGTTAAGACAATGTTATCTGCATTATCTTCACATGATGACACCCATATTAAATATACAAAAATCTTTGCTATCTTCGCTTGTTCAATAACCAGTAAACCGATCAATTTACCAGTCAGTGTATGTTCCTGCCCTCACCTATGGCCATGAGCTTTGGGTAATGACCAAAAGAACAAGATCGCAGATACAAGCAATTGAAATGAGTTTCCTCCGCAGAGTGGCTGGGCGCTTCGAGATAGGGTGAGGAGTTCAGTCACACGAGAGGAGCTCAGAGTAGAGCCGCTGCTCCTCCATGTCGAGAGGAGTTAGCTGAGATGACTTGGGCATTTGTTCCAGATGACTCCTGGGCGCCTCCCTTGGGAGGTGTTCCACTGGAAGGAGGCCCAGAGGAAGACCCAGGACACGCTGGAGGGACTATGTCTCTCGGCTGGCCTGGGAAAGCCTTGGGGTTCCCCTGGAGGAGCTGGAGGAAGTGTCCGGGGTGAAGGAACTCTGGAATTCCCAGCTTAAACTGCTGCCCCGGAGACCCAGCCCCGGATAAGCGGAAGAAAATGGATGGATGATCTTCGCTTGTTTTGAATAATGTGTCAACAGCAATTGTTCGAAATTCTCTCGAGTTTCAGGCAGCGCAGGTGAGAGGTCGTGTACATTAACCACAACAAACTCTATTAGACACAGAACATCTGTTTTCCCGTACATACGGATGTCTGCTCCTATTTACTGTTTGCAGATGTGCTCCACAGTGCTCCCACTCACTGCATGAAAGATGTTCTTCAGGACTGAAGGGGATTCTCCATCACACCACTGCACACGTGCCTCGCTCTACGTGACGCTGCGTGTCGCAAGATAGCTCGACCAGGCGAAGACCCAATGGTGAAGGAAAAGCGGGAGGACTGATGGTGCCTTCACGTCATGGTAATTATCGTAAATACCAAAATCCAACATCAAAATTTCACATGAATACCGTCTCACATCATAAGTAACACTGGGATGCTGGAAGAGTTTTATGATACACGAGGAGCTGCCGAGATGAGATAAACTTTGACCTTTCAACATGGTGCAGAACAGCGAAAGAGTCGTGAATGGTAAGCATTACATTCTGTTAAACGTTCTCTGCTGCTGTTACGTGGTCAGTTTGTAGCCTACATAATGCTATGGCATAGATAATATTAATAACATCACTATTTACACTTTTTATTAAAATAATAATAACAATATTTAAAATAAATAAGAGCAATATTTTAAAATAAATATTACAAAATAAAATAAAATATTAAAACTGTTTTATCCAACTTAAAGGTCAGGGTCGGCCATTCTTCACTTCAGTGCGATAACAAAAGCACTTGAATACAATCTTTCCCATACCACGTGAAGGCAGCATAAGCCTGAGGATATATTTGGGAATAATTTGTCTAGAGTCGATTTGCGAAATGTACTGACAGCGCCTCGGCCAATCAGAACTCGCTGGTAAACGTGTGGGTGATGTAGTTTGATCAAAACGGCGTTTCTGTTGAGTTGCGTGAAATAGTTTCACGTTGTACTACAAGCCCCACAATGCAATGCGTAATTTTCGCTGTGTCTGTATGTGAAGCCGTGCAAGAGAGGGGGGCAGAGAAAAGATTTTGGAATCCGTCTGCTGAGTTGAAGCTGTGCTGCTGACAAAATAATGGTAAGACAACGTTTGAAATCGTTTTTATTCAAACATCACCTTGACGTACGATATAAAACAATAATGACTTATTTCGGGCTACGCGACCAGCTTAGTACAGTTGTGATTGTTGTTATAATGCAACATTGGCTAACTTCAGCTAGCAAACAAGCCACTCCAACGAGCTAATTATGGTGCTTGATGTTTACTACTCGGTAATAGTGATCACTGTAGTTTTTACCATGTAATACCTGCTTTGTAACGCAAATATAACTTACACGCTATTGAAGATCACGTTTTGTTCTCTATTCAACTTTGCTGTGTGTTTATGCGTGGGGGCGTGCTTTACGGGAACCTCCGGAGTACGTGAGAAAAGCCAGACAGACGGTGGTTTTGTGCTGGTATGTTTCACCAGAGGAAAGCCCGTGCTTTTGTGTTGACATCAGGGGTACTGGACGGGCCAATGCTGTGGCCTCCACTTCTGTCACTAATTATTGTTTAATGCCCCCAGACTTTAGAGATTCGTGATTAATTGTGATAAGGAAGATCTCAAAAGCTTTCGGGCTATTTCCAGTCTTGCTCAACCCCTTCGTACATTGCTGTTGTAATAACCAATGTAATAGGGTGTGTTTTATTTCATTTTCCTCTAAGCCACATACTTCTGCAACTAAACACTTCTCATATTTGCAGAAAAGCAACAATAGGTTAACTAATAGTGAAGTTGTCTCTGTTAATCTGATCTCAATTTGTACTCAAAGTTAAGATGTCAACTCTTTGTGTATTTTGTGTTTAAGATATTCTTCTGTTGTTCTGTCCATTGCCCAAACAAAATATGCTAAATTATTTCCAATATCCCTTTAATCTGTGATGTTGATATAGTAGTTTCAATATGGATGGGACCGGTTTTCCCTTCCAGGTTGGTATAAACATGAGCATGGTATGTTATAGTCATGTATGTGTTCTGAACTTTGACTTCTGTTCTGGGTAAAATGTTGTCTCACCAAACAACATGTGGATTGCAGCATGTTAAAGTAAAATGCAAACATTAGATAGACATGAAATTTAAGGTATAATGCAATAGCCTTGAACTTTTAACATATTAATGACTCAACTTTAGATGCATATCCAACTTAAGCTGTTTTTAGCCAACAGCATTACTTCAATATTGTAGCAGGAATGTTGCTGTTTCTCCTCACCTCACAACAACAGTAGCACATTGAGCCAAGTACTGTGTGGATAATAGCCATCACTGAACATGTGCTTTTGACTAACACTGACTTGTGTCTTGGTCAGACTGGTGTAGAATGCTTTTAAACTAACATTGTTAATTAATAATATCTGAAAAATTGTGAAGAAATCCTGCCCACGTATTCTTTCTTTCATCAAAAAATATGTTTCATAATTGGCTGTACAGCCTGTACAGCCTGTACAGCCTGTGGCTGATGGATGTACAGCTTAATCTAACTTTTGGAAAGGCCAGTGCTAATCGACTAAAGAGAAGTTAGTCATTTTACAATTAGTGTTTTCTTTATTTGTCTTCCAAGAGGGAATTTTGTAGTCCTGTCACAATAGTTGGGGAGATCTTTGTTATTTCTGTGTAGCAATATATTGTGATTCTGAAATGTATGAAACAGGCTGGTTTCTAAAATGTTGGTTTTACAATTGGTGCTCCATTACTCCAGCATGTCCAATTTAACCAAGCAGAACAACAAACTTACATTTTATTAGCCTTGGAACTGAAGGGTTATTGTGCAACCAAAATGTTTACAACCCCTCTTCTTGTATGTATCCCTCATCACTTCCTTCATTGACTGTTGTAAACAATAGGTCAGATTTGTGGAGGTTAAAGAAAATGATTGCATTGGTTGTGTGGTTATTTGGACCCAACGATGTGCCCCATACCTACAGTACATGTATATGTGCTCTTCAGGGGCTCTCTGCTGTATCAGAGACTCTGGCAGGCGCTGGCTTTTCTCTGGCCAAGTGTGGGCGGATTCTTCTCGGCTCCAACATCCACTGCTTATCTTTATGGATTCATCCCCAGGCACTGTTACAACTTTTTCCAATTGTGTATTTTTTTTTGTTTCTTCCAGGCCTAGCTCTTTGACATGTCCCTGGACTGGACTGTGCTCAAAGACGTCACACGGTAGAGTCACGCCCGCCCCCGCACCTGACCTGCCTTGTCCACACCCCCTGCTGACTCCTGCAGCTCGGTCAGATACTTCTTGATATTTGCTATTCTTTTGTCTCTGCTCACATGTACCAAGAGTGTGAATGGCAGTGATAGCTGCTTTTAACTGAGACTGTCCCTGTTGTTTCCTCTCTACAGAGCAGGATGGAGCCCTCCTTTGGGCCGACCTTCTCATCTGTGGCCACTGGAGCTAAAGGTAAACACATTTGTCTATGTTTTAAGCAGTGAGAGCTCTATATAGTTGGAAATTGTATTTACTTTGCAATTCAAGGGACCCCACTTGGCAAATCCTAACATTATTTAAGTTAATGCTATGCAAACAAAATATTCTGTCTTTGTATGTTTATACCTGCTGTTAGTGGGTAATTTTCTCTAAAATGTTAAGGTAAAAATGTGTAATTATGAGTAATTAAAACAAATACAATTAAAAAATGTATCAAACATTTTGTCGACATGGCCCTACATTTTCTCTTTGTTAACCTCTATCAATACTTGTATATAAAATCAATCTTTGTTTATTAAAATGATTGTTGTCTGATTTTAGCTGAAGCAAATACCAGCTTTAAGCAACACAGAAGAACCCCCTCCTCCTCCAGCACTCTCACCTATTCCCCACGCGATGATGACGATGGAATGGTACACACATCATCTGTTGTAGTTTTGCTATTTTATAATACATGTAAATATGAAATGTAATCTTGATGACCCTCACCAGCCCCCGATCGGCACTCCTCGAAGATCTGACTCGGCCATCTCAGTGCGGTCGCTCCACTCTGAGTCCAACATGTCTCTGCGCTCCACCTTCTCTCTGCATGAGGAGGAAGAGGACACAGTAAGATAATAATTCACAAACATACAGCCAACAGTTTAGAGCTAGCAACCCTGCTCTAATAATAAAAAATAAACATACAGAGGTTTTTAGTTGAATTCACAATTTTTATAGATATTACTTTGTGCTTTACTGCCCCTAATAAACATGAGAAACACTAATAATTTCCAAAATTTATTTTTAAGTATATGAGAACAACTTTTTAGTGCTAATGTACTTTATGAATGTGCTATTTCCTGCAGGAACCACAAGTGTTTGCTGAGCCGCCTTCAGTCAAACTATGTTGCCAGTTGTGTTGCAATGTCTTCAAGGACCCAGTCATCACAACCTGTGGGGTATGGCATTTCTCTTATGACTAGTGCAATGATGACACAAATGCTTAGTAAACATTGGCAGTTCAATTTTTTTGTTTGAATACTACTTGAGAAATCAAAGGGGAACATGTTCTATGATTAGATGATATCTATCTATATCTATAAATATAGATATAAATATAGATATTAGCATTTTTATCATAGTTGGCTGAAAACTAATGACAGAACAGACAAGTGAATATAGCTTGATAAGAACACTTATATTTAATAAGTCATTTTTAGTACTTTTTACCATTCAAAAGATAAAACTTTTTGTCTTTTTGTCCTATTCTTTTCCAGCATACCTTCTGTAGACGATGTGCCTTGACTTCAGGTGAGGCTAATATATTAAACGTTTTTTCTTTTTTTAAGATCTTACCTTGTAATCTTGTAACAAAACCCTACTCTGTTACAGACAAGTGCCCAGTGGACGCCGCTAAGCTAACCGTGGTGGTGAACAACATTGCAGTGGCAGAGCAGATCGGGGAGCTGTTCATTCACTGTAAATACGGCTGCAGAGCAACAGGCAGCGCAGCTGGAGCTGTTGCCGGGAAACTCAACGGAGCCTTCGAGGTGGACCCCCTGGGCTGCCCGTTCACCATCAAACTGACAACACGCAAGTAAGCACACACACATCCAAGACTGAGACAAGGCTGAGGTGACTCACAGTTCTGCTGCTGCAGTGGGGGAGGAGGAGCAAAACTGTGTGTAGCTCAAATGGCAAAATGAGGGAGATAACACAGAGTACATTTTTGAATAGAATGAGACTGGAATTGGTTTAGAGAGTCACAGGAAGTGGTCTGTTATTGGTTAGCAACACACAGGAAAGTAGGAGGTAAAAATAAGAACATTTGAACTTATCAAGATGAACATAATATTTTTAAAATCATTCCCATTGTTTTTTTCTCTGGAGTACTTGTTGTGATAATCTATAATCATATCATTCCCTGTAAATATCATAATTGTTATCTTGATTTTGGTAGCTTTTAATACCATCTTGTGTTTACTATATATCAAGAGCTGTGTCCGAATAATTTCCCTTGTGGATCAATAAAGTTTGTCTAATCTCTAAGTCTGTTCTGACAACATGTGTATTTGTAGTCTTGGTATTTTACAAGCTAAAATTACTACCACCACACCATTAGTTTGAATGTTCTTGCTAACTTTATCTTTTCCGATTTGTGTTTTCTTCAGAGAACACGAGTCCAGTTGTGACTACAGGCCAGTGCGCTGCCCCAACAACCCATCGTGCCCCCCTCTGCTCACCATGAACCTGGAGGCTCACCTCAAAGAATGTGAGCACATCAAATGCCCCCACTCCAAATATGGGTGAGTGTTATACAGTGATTTATATAGAATGCCCACGAGTACTGAAATAATTAAAGTTATAGCTGACCTGTCTGCTCTGCTTTCTTCCAGCTGCACGTTCATCGGGAACCAGGACACCTATGAAACCCATCTGGAGGTGTGCAAGTTTGAGGGACTAAAGGAGTTCCTGCAGCAGACAGATGACAGGTCAGTCTGACTTTAACTTCTATGGATCTAAATGGCTTTAATCTAATCTCATGTTAAGTATGTTTTTATAATTTTATTGTCTCTGTTTTGTTTGTCTTGTTAGGTTCCATGAGATGCAGTTAACCCTGGCTCAGAAGGATCAGGACATTGCCTTCCTGCGCTCCATGTTGGGCAAGCTGTCCGAGAAACTGGACCAGCTAGAGAAAAATCTGGAGCTCAAATTTGGTGAGAAAAAGATTAAATATTTAGCTTGTACTTTTTATAGAAGAGTAGAGGATTTGTGTGCTGACCTTCTGTCTTTCACTTTAATTCTGTCTGGGCACCGAAATGTACCTTGTTATATGCTGTTATTATACAAGAATTTACATTTTGTGTTTTCAGATAAATTTATGTTGCACAATTTAAAATCATGCTTTTAAAATATATATATTAAAGTAGGTCTTGATATATCTTACTGCCTTGTGCTTTTGCCTCCTGGTCACAATAGTTTGTTGAATGTTTCTATCCTCACTCCCCGTATCGTGCTACAGCTGTTCTGTTCAATAAGTTTTTGGGCTAGAAAAAAAAAAATTCAAGTTGGTCCCATGACGTCACATGCACTTATGAGTGAACCATTTGGCCTCATTTCGGAAAACCTGGTAATGGTAACAGGACTATTGTTAGCACTGGGGCAAGCGTTGAACAGATGTGTCACCTGTAGCTCTCTCAAACAATGACGCAGAAAGGTGTGGTTATAGAACAGAATAATGCATGATACAAGTAAATGTGACGAAAGATATTGACAGTAAATCATGATCTGCCAAACTTTTGCATCACATGTTGGTCTTAAAATCGGATCTGGTCCTTCAAAATACTCAAGAGACATTACCTCAATGGCCAAACACAGCTCTGATAACCCAAAGAATATAATCTGTTCTAGGCTTTCCCTTAAAATGACTCAAGCAGTTCTTTGTGTGTATTATAAAAAGATCCAGTTTATAAAGGGTGAGGGTGTGACCACAAACTCCTGCCAGGGATGACTTGAGTAAATGCTGTATTATTTTTCAGACGTGTTGGACGAGAACCAGAGCAAACTAAGTGAGGACCTCATGGAGTTCCGCAGGGACGCTTCCATGCTCAATGTGGGTTTTCATTCATTGTCCACACTACAAAATGATTCAAACATCTACAATCAAATCTCTTTCTTTTATAGGATGAGCTCTCCCACATCAATGCCAGACTCAATATGGGAATACTGGGCTGTATGTATCTTGTTTCCATAGATTAAACTGAAATATTAATCTCTTAAAACATAACTCACTGTATTGTGTTTTCCATGCAGCATATGACCCTCAGCAGATCTTCAAATGTAAGGGCACGTTTGTGGGGCACCAGGGTCCAGTCTGGTGTCTGTGCGTCTACTCCACTGGAGACCTGCTCTTCTCAGGCTCCTCTGATAAGACCATCAAGGTACTGCACACAACACAGACACTTGGACTGTGATACATCTCCTAAGGCACACATAAAGGAGACAATTTTTATTTTATCTTCACAAAACAATTAAAGAAGTTTATATTTATATTCGGAATCATGAAAAATTGGGATCAGTACCATATTCATTAACAATTTAAAACTAAATTCTTTTGAATTGGGAAAAAAAAATCGTCATGTTGCATATAAAAGGAAGATGAAATCCATGAGTAGGTGTGTGGTGTAGTTTGACAGAAACCCAAAAGGGCTTATCCCTAAAACCACACCTAAAATCAATTAATGAACAACTCAGTCTTCATTTGGTCAGATGATTCATATATGAAAATAAAGAAAGAAAGAAGAAATAATGCAATAGGGTAATTGCTTAACAAATCAGAAGTTACTGAGATGTATCATTGGCATTCTGTCCATTGTGATTGTACATTACAATTCTATTATTTCATAATAATCAATAATGTATATTTAGAGAACAATAGTTTTCACATACTTTTATCTGGACTTTTGTATCCTTTATAACAAGCTTTTAATTTTTTGGCAGGGCTTTAGTGGCTTTATTCTTTGCTAATTAGTATTTCCAGAATTGAATATTTACATTTAAGAACATTTCATCAGTATCCTTATACAAATAACGCTGAATCCACATTGATCATATTGAATAGATCATTGATCATATTTCCAGTTGCTAATGTGGTCTCTAATACACTGTGTGCTGTTCAGGTCTGGGACACGTGCACGACTTACAAGTGTCAGAAGACACTGGAGGGGCATGATGGCATTGTCCTGGCTCTGTGCATCCAGGGGTAAGAAAACAGAATTACTCTACGACTGATTTTATCTCCCAAACATCTTCTGTTTCTGAAACTGTGACTCCTCTGTCTCCATAGAAACCGGCTGTACAGTGGCTCCGCTGACTGCACCATCATAGTATGTGCCTTTTCAGTGCTGCTTTATTCAGCATGCACACTTTTGCAGTGTACAGATTGTTAATATGTGGCAGATCTTTCTAATCCATTGTGTGTCTGTGGTGTGCAGGTGTGGGACATCCAGACTCTGCAGAAAGTGAACACGATCCGCGCCCATGACAACCCTGTGTGCACACTGGTCTCCTCCCACAACATGCTGTTCAGCGGCTCCCTCAAGGCCATCAAGGTGAGGACTAACATTTCCTGATGCAACAGTCACAAGAGAACAAGATGTTTTCAACATATCATTTTAATATTATGGTACTGTATTTCATAAATTATTTGATTTTAAACTGTATTATTTTAGTTATATTCCCACTATTGAAGGGCCCTTATTACGCTATGTTATAATGTTATTTCCTCATCAAAAACAACAAACCCTGATGATGTCATGCGGTAATACAAGAAGTGCTCCACTATGTTTTTAAACTCTATACACCTTCACTAGAATCATTTGGATAATTTCAACCCTGGAATTGCCCATCTCTACTGATCTAAAGGTAAAAGGAGCTGTTAACTTGAAAACTACAACAACATGACATCACAATGTGAAACAGAGCATTTTGAGGAGGTAACAACATAACATGCCTTACAGCTCACAAGAGACAACGTTGAGTAATATAGGACCATTAAACTATTAATATACTGGCATATTCAAATGTTAGTAACATACCATAATAACTAACATAAAACTATCTGCTAATAAGCATATTCATCAGTGGATAGTTGTTAATTAGTATCTCTTCAGCCTTATTTATGTCTTATTTTATCTACACTTTACTATTAATGAACTCCCTATTACTGCTTATTAGTATAATGTTAAGGAATTTTGGTAAATAACTTCAAATCTGATGCAACATGTTATGACTGAAATGATTACCGGTACCTCTTACAAATTCATTTGTCAGTGTGAGTGGTGAGTTTGTTGTGTTAGTTATTTTGGGGGTGCTGGCCTGAAAGGATTGGGAACCCCATTGTGGTAGGAGACAAAGAGTGGACATCGGTGATCTCTGAGGAATTCCAACACAATGAAATCAGTGATGGTGTGAAATAATTGGTCATCTCCTGGTCTCAGCAAAAACTTGTAAAACTTAAGAGGATGTTATTGAAAGTTACAAAAGCTGCATATTTGTAACAGGAAAATGTCTTAAGGAAATTTAGTCAGACTTTCACAACATTAAAATTACCATTGAGGATAACTGTAAAATGTGTAGGAAATGCATAATTTGCTTACCATATAAAAGCCAAAGAGAAGCTTTTGTGATTGTGGGCATTTGTGCGTTGAATGACGCTGGAACATTGGAGTGTTGTTGTGTGTGATGTCATTAGTTCTTGCACAGGGACTTTCCTCTCTTTACTCAGCCTGCTCCCCTCCCCTCAGCCCTGTGTCTCTGTCTTCAAACTATGCAGTACTTAGTGTGAAATAGAAAAAAAAAATGATTAATGCATTGTAACTACACTAGATAAGGAAGAATGATAAATGCAACAAATTGTAGCTGACACCACAAACTGTGATTTTGGACAAATTCCCAAGTAGTGGAATTTTTTCTGGGTATCTGGGTTCAGTTCCGCTTCAATCCATATTTGGAAGTGGTGTTTGCTCTGTGCGAGCATAAATTCAGTTTAGGGAATTTCGTGCTAGCCAAAGATATACAAATATCACCATATTATTTTTAATTTTAACTAGTGTAATGTATTGTTTTCTCCTCAGGTGTGGGACATTGTGGGCACTGAGCTGAAACTAAAGAAAGAGCTGACTGGTTTGAATCACTGGGTCCGAGCTCTAGTGGCCTCACAGAACCACCTCTACAGCGGCTCCTACCAGACCATTAAGGTACAGAACTCACTACTGTGGGGCCATCTGTTTGTGTGGGGGCATCTGTTTGTCTCCACAGAGATGTTACTGCTTTGCCCGGAATGCTCCCCAGTATTGGATTAAATTTATATTTGTGACATAGTTTAAATCAGTGTTTCTCAAACTTTTTATCTGGGGACCCATATTTTAAAAGTCACAAATCTTTGCAGCCCAAGTCAAAAGACTTTATTCATAAATCACAAAATAAATTTGTGACCATTATTGCACATTAATGAGGATATTTTAATGTTGACTGAGTGATCATGTCTTTCTGAATAATTATTATTATCGTATTTTTTGGACTATAAGGCTCATTAAGCGAAAGAAATGGACAACACTTGAGACTTGAAATGTTTTTATTTCCTACGAGGAGAAGTCAAAAATAGATTGAGTAATAATGTGTTTAATATAGCTTTGTGCTAATTTGTTTACATTTTACAGAAATGAAAATTAAAACCACATGGCTAATTTGCATAAACTATAAGCAATAAAAAAACAGCTTGCTCCTTGTGCGCTGATGCAGTCAGCTTCTGTCGGACTAAAGAACATGACTCAGTGGAATATATGTGAAAATCAGTTCGAGGTCAGTAAGCATAACCCGAATTAAAACATAAGGTGCACCGGATTATAAGGCGCATTGTCGATTTTTCAGAAAATTTAAGGATTTTAAGTGTGCCTTATAGTCCGAAAAATATGGTACTCAAGTTTTAAACAAGGAAAAAGAGTAATCAGTGTTTCCCACAGATAATTGTTTAGGCAAGATGGTGAAAAAGTGAGGAGCGGGGTTGCGCGGAGATTCTGTACACAAGTGAGGAGTGGGGGATGTATGTATATGTATATTGCAGACCTCCATGCAGATCGTGACAAGGATACCCCCAAAAAAATCTCTTGCGACCCAGTCTTTGGGAAACAATAGTTTAAATAACAGATGCTGTGATGATGAAAAAAGCAGGTGGTGCTCAGTAGAAAGGTTACATAGTGAACCTTCAGATGTATTGCTGGGTGTATTTTCCCATATTTTAAAGTAAAATCTCAAGTTTATCATAACATATTCACAAGATTCCCCTGCCCAACACACATCACTCAGGCTCAACAGTATGTATCATGTAGTGCAGTTATTCCATGTGAGTGTGCACTGTGCCTGCTGTCACTCCTAAACTCTGGTAATTAGCTACAGCTCGGCGTATTGCTCCCAGGCAGATAAAGGAACAAGTGTACTCAGTAATTGGCTTTGTGTTGCCTTTGTAAAACACCCTGAAATATGTGTGCGTTGGCAGGTGTGTGCTCTGTGTGTGTGTGTGTGTGTGTGTGTGTGTGTGTGTGTGTGTGTGTGGGAGAGAAAGAAAGTCAGGCACTAATGAATACCTCTGGGACAGGCTATTGAAGAAATGTCTGATGAACGCTAAAGCCTCCCTTACAGTCGATGTAGCTCCAGTGAAGAGTTTAATGAAATATTTTCAAAGCAGAAGAGACTGGAAAAATCTTGCCAAGATTCACTAAATGATCCCCTTGAACATTAAAGGGCCTATATTACACTCTATGTTATAATGTTGTTTCCTTATCAAAAACATACCTGGAGCTTTCTTTTGCTGGCTGTTTACATACTTGCAGAACATGATGTCACAAGGTGGAACAGAGCATTTTGAACTTTGGAGATGTAGACAGACTAATAAACTCAAACATGCGTGAATGAAACACAACTCCAGGTATTTTTTGGATGATTTAACAACATTATAACATGGCTCAAAGCTCACAATAATACATTTTGTGTAATACAGGACCTTTAAAGGAGTTGGCAAAGTATTTTATTATTACATTATTTACTTAAAATTAAAGTAGACATGATTAGCTGTTGCAATGAATTTACACACGTTTTAATCGAATAAGGAAAAGACATGCACTACACTACAGGTCATATATTTTATTGATATATAAGTTGTAGTTTTTATACTTAATGCTGAAACTACAAAGCCCACAGTAGTTTCAACACAAAAATTTACATAATTACACACTTACATAAATATCTCAAACATAATTATATTCTTCCTCAGATCTGGGACATCCGCTCCCTGGAGTGTGTGCACGTCCTCCAGACCAGTGGGGGCAGCGTCTACTCCATTGCCGTCACCAACCACCACATCGTCTGTGGCACCTACGAGAACCTCATTCATGTAAGCTACACCTGCGACTGAATATGAATGTGTGTGTGATGTGTGAATGTTTTTGACCCTAGAGGATGTCAGAGTTTATGTTTCCTAAAAGCGTGGAGACCCAACATGAGCGTGTGTGTGCAGGTGTGGGACATTGAGTCGAAGGAGCAGGTGCGCACTCTGACGGGACACGTGGGGACAGTGTACGCTCTGGCTGTCATCTCTACTCCAGACCAGACCAAAGTGTTCAGCGCCTCCTATGACCGTTCTCTCAGGGTATGGCCTCCTCAGTTTATTTATCTTACTCATTATCCTGCAAGATTATTGTGCAATATCATAATATAATGTCATGTAACACCTTCTTTGAACACTGTGTGCATAGTTATTAGGCAAGTTGTATTTTATGAGGATACATTTTATGGTGAAGGAGAACAGTGCACCTCTCTGAAAAGTGTCTGGGAGGCTGTAGTTGCTGCAGCACAAAAAGTTGATCATCAACAAAACAAGAAGAAACAGACTTCATGAATGGAAGTCTTATGCCCATTATTGAGGAGACGGGTGGCTATATTGGTCACATATTTATTTATTTTTTTTTATGTTTATTTGTAAATTTTGACTTTAGTTGCCCAATAATTGTGCACAGATTTAGATTTAGCCAAAACGTCACTTACTTTTTAAATATTCAGGTTTGAGGTTCATTAACATTTTGGACTGATGGAGAATACTGCAATAATAAATTTAATCCTCATAAATACAACTTGCCTAATAATTATGCATACAGAGTAAATGCTAATTGTCCTTTGTGAAAAGTCAGTTTACTTTTTAGATATGTATCAGTGCCCCATGACTGTTATAATCTGATGACACAATCCCATTCTCTATTGGATCAATTTATACCCTTTCATATTTGTCAAAAACCATAGATGCTAAAAAGGTGCACTATAAGAGAAACCTCAAGAAACATTCTCACTGTTAAATTTAATGCAATACTGTGGAATATTTCAGCCACACCAAAAACATCTCTGTGGAGACATGCAGGTAGTGGATGCTTGACCAGAAAAGATACACAAGTGCGCCTTTAATGAATTCAAATGAAAACTGGGAACATTACCACTTACACTGTCATGGGCTAAAAGCAGAACATGTAAATAGTTATATTTTAAAACTTCCTGAAGTGTTTTGAGGACATATATGTCATGCATCACATCAACCCAAGAAATTTGAAAAAAATAAAAATAAAAAAATTCATGCAATGTACTATAGTACCATATATAGTATACAGTATTATTGAAGCACACTTAGATGAGTGTGAACTGGGTCTGTTAAATCTCATGTGCTGTTGTGTTGTAGGTGTGGAGCATGGACAACATGATCTGTACCCAGACTCTGCTCAGACACCAGGGCAGTGTCACAGCACTGGCCGTCTCTAGGGGGCGCCTCTTCTCCGGAGCCGTGGACAGCACCGTGAAGGTACCCACCAAACTTAAACCGTTGCCTTTTCTTCACAAATTGTCAACCCAATTTAGACTTTACTGAAATATTAAAATTCAAAACACGCACCACGGTTTCCAACATATTCCTGATTTTCTTAATACATTCTGAGCATCTAAATCTTCACTTTCAGTGGCCAGAGTCGAGTTTTGGTGTCGCGCCACTGCTAATTATAATTAGCATGCTACAAGCATTGCTTCCTGGTTTGCGGCCATACTTTTTTTTTTTTTTTTTATAATTATATTGTAGACAGCACACAGCAATCAAATTTATATCTGTACTGGAGAAAAACAGTTTTTACTTTATTACATGAAACATGAGTACAGCCTCTTTAATGTAGTAGTTTAGCATAGACATACATTTTAGCTACATCAGTAACTTCTTGGAAGTGTTTGTGCTTTTATTGTTTGATTGTAAATAATGGTGTTTCTCTGTGCCTCAGGTGTGGACATGTTAAGAAGTCTTTATTCACAAAGGACCTTTTTATCAACGCTATCAGACTCTACTGGATCTAGTGTCCTTCTTTGGCATTTTTCCTGCAACACGCTCACTATTTAGAGACTTACTGAGTGAGCCCTCACCAGTGCATTACAGAAACAGATAAACAGATGAACTGCCTTATCTACAGTATCCTACATACTCAGCCTGAAGAGGACACTTGTGAAGAGAAAGACTGTTTTAATTAATAACAATGTCTGAAGTTTCAATACTGTATGTGTAAAGACTGCTTTTACAATTATTGGAGAGGACACTGCTCATTTTAAAGAAAATTTTAACAAAATCTGAACATTTAAAAGGTGTTGAAGTCATATCTACCTATTATCAAAAACAATTGGTTATTTTAACTCCATATCTTTTCAAATATACATTGTTAGGTTTAGGTTTTGATTGTGGAAATTGTTTAAACCATTGACCACAACATTGAAACATTTCATTTTAAAATCCAAAACTTTTTGCCGATAGGGTCCCATGATGAACGTGGTGACCACCTCAGTTGTTTGTAGGACAGACTCGGGAAATTTTTGCTTGCAATTTTTTTTGTTTTTATAAATCATAACTCCAGCAACAATGGAATAGCAATAAGTGCCAACATATTTACAACCCTGAATGCCTGTCCTCTCAAAAATTCTGTGAGGAAAAAAAATCATGTATGTAATCTCACTTTATATAATGCATGCAGCGTCAATTAAAAAGTGGGACAAGAGCAACTAGGGACAGGTACAGGACAACCAAAAAAGTGACAGGTGGTCACCCAAAGGACAAGGTCTGGACTGGAGGGAGGACTGATGTGTAACTTTTATTTATGTGTCCAAATGATTGTTGTCAAAGCAGTCTCTTTAAATTTGTGATGAAGATTTTATGCAGACATCTTATATTTTGTACCAGTGCCACTATAAAAATGTATAATATGTGTCTATAACAAGAGACAGTGCCGAGTTTGGACAGTTGCCATGACGACTCACTCCTATATCTATATCTATATATATATAAATATATATCTCCGAGCGGGACAGTGGACAGGCTCAGGCCCCTCAGCCTAAGAGTGCCATATGTGTGAATGAGCGTGGCCCACCTGTCCCCTCTTCTGCTCGCCCGATCTGATGACTGTACACTCCTGCTACATTTAACCTGTATGACTTTAACCAATCAGAGATAAGCAGGAAGTGCCCATATTGGGTTGGACACGAGTGGATCACAGAGTATTTGTAAATGTAAACATAGCTTTCTACTGATGTTGATGATGTGGTATTGAGTTTTGGTGCACTTTGAGTCGATGCATAGCCTTGCAGAGATCACAGTAAAGTTCTTGTATACTGTATCATGTTAGCCTGAGTTACACTCCAGTCAATAAAACTTTTACAGTTGTTATGCTTCAATCTAACTTTTCATATTATTATGTTAAATAATCTGCATCTTTTACAGCAAGAGGAGCTTAAAAGCACTTAAAACAAGGCCTTGAATCTTTTCCAAATCCACATTGTTTTGGTTCAAGAATTGTAAATGACACAGGATGTCCACAGTGCTGACTCAGCATGTTTTTCCTGTTCTTGCAATAGCTGCTACTAAGTGATGTTTTGTGTTTCCCAAAATGCGTAAGAATGTACTTTTTTGTTTAGAGTACGTTTATTCTTAATATTCCTAAATTGTTCTAAATGAACATGTTTAAATTATTATCTAACATGATTTTGATTTCTTTTCAAAGGTCTACACAAAACAGACTCTGAGCTTTAAGACATGTTAGAAGGCTGCTACCTCCTCTAAAACAAATTTGAAATTGTGTTTGGTTTCATTCACACATGTCTGAATAATGCTTTATTATTAGTCTGTCTATATCTCCAAAGCTCAAAATGCTCTGTTCAACCTTGTGATGTCATGAAGCTGTAGTTTTCTTTAGTTCAGTAGAGATTGGCAATTCTACAAAGGTGTACATGTGTAAGAACACAGTGGAGCACTTCCTGTATTACCACATGACATCACATGGACTGTTTTCAATTTGAGAGAAGGACTCAGTCTAAATGTGCAAGGTTTGTGTGTTAATGAAACAAAACACAACTCCAGCCAGGTATGTTTTTGATGAGGAATCATTATAACACACATCAGAAAATATATGGACCCTCAGTAAAAACATCTGTCCGCTGCAGGATGACCCCAGAACTACACGGAGTAGGTGAGTTTGTAGAGAACATTTATTTATTCAGAGCAGATGGGCAGAAGATGCAGTCGCCACAAGCACACGCCACGTCTCAGCCACACGCCTCACGCACGCACAGACCCACAGTCACCGCAGAAGCACAGGCGCAGTCCAAACAAAACGGCAGCTCGTCTCAGGATCAAAAATAAAAATCATAATAAAAAAATAATAACACAACAAGACTTCATCTGCGTTTTACACCATTTTTTCAACATGAGCACCCAACCCCGCACCCGTCCCAGTGAGAAGGAGTAAAACGCTAGAGTGAACCCTAAAGCCATTTTTGAACAAAGATTTTGTAGCATTAAAGTCGCATATATCAGTAAAGTAAACATTAAGTGGATAAATAAGATGAGGTTTAGGTTCACATTAAAAAAAATAAAAATCTTCAAATAGGTCAATACATGGATTTTTTTTAATGAACTGGTGCCATAAAATATAAAATAAAAATCCCAAATTAAACTGATGTGGGTAAGGACAATGATAACAGAGACATTAAATGTAAACCAGATAAAAATAGTGTGGCGTTTAAGCAGAACCTGCAGAACATGGCTGCCGGGCTGGTTTTCAGTTTGTGGATCTAGGCGCAGGTTTGTCCACTCTAGAGATCTACTCTTTCTCACCAGAGATGACCTTTCAGCTGCTACAAATGAATTATTACTTTTCGGTTTTAAGTAGATTAATTCAGAAATAAATTATGGTGCAGAAATGAAAAACACTTAAAAAATGAACTGTATGCATAACAGAATTGCGTTTCCACTGCAAAGGCCAGAGAGGTCATTTTAACACCAGTAGGCTATGTCAGTGTTTGGTAAACACACAATTATATAAATATTTGTAATATATTTAGAAAATGTACATTTAATAACAAAAAGTCTAATGTTCAGTAAAGAATCTTTATATTTTCACTTTCTTTTTGATCATAGTTGTCTCTATTTTTGTTTCGTAGCCTTTATACAAATGACTATCTGCATAACACTTTTACATCAATCAATTAGGCTATGTTTTGTTTCTTATAGTATCATTTTTTTCTTTTATAATAAAATAAATCTACCCAAGCAGTCATTCATTTTCTAACACAGATTTGCATGTTTCCCTTTTGCAAAGGCCAGTTTATTGCATGGTTAACACTGACAATTAGCTGTTAAAGTGAATTATTTTTGCATCTTCATGAAATATATTGAATATTTTAAATAAGTTTGCTGTTTCAAAAACAGTTTAATTTTGACATGCAAATCAGTGCACCTTTAACAGCACCATTATAACAAAGTCAAAATAATTATAAAAATGAAGAAAAAAAAAAAAAAATTAAAAAAAAAAGTCCAAATAAACTCCATGGCTGTTTCTGGGCCAGTGGTCCTAAAAATTGGAGGAAAAAAAACATGCAGTTTGGTCATTTCTAGAGTGGTGTTTTGGGCCAGACAAACAGTACTTTACAAAGCCATCTATTGAGTTAGAGTCGGACCGAAAATCACAAAGCAAGGCACATGTTTGGAAAAAAAAGAAAAATAAACTTTTGAAAATAATACAAAAGTAACAAAAGCGAGTGTATTTTACACTGGACACATGTACAAATGTAGGCAGAAACAGACTCCTGGAGGTTCACCAGCTTAGAGCACTAAAGCATGGAGAAGCAGAACACTATCTGTAAAACAGTCTCTGAAACACATCATAAATACACCTCTTATTCATATATAGAATCTCTATGTCATTTCATTTGAATAACACAAGGATCTCTGGAGAGGGATGACATCTCCAGTGGAGAAGTGAGGGATGCTCCTTCTCGCTTTGTCTTCACACATTTTATTTAACATCCCAGAAAGTGGCTGTCATGGCAACACACAGTCTCGTAACCATGGTGATGGCGACGATGAGGATGGTGGGGATGGTGATGTAGATTGTCATGGCAACACGAGGTGAGTGGTTGGTGGAGTAACAGGAGGAGGAGCAGTAGGAGGAATAAACTATTGACAGATGCAGCAACAAGACTGGGCACCAGGTTGGATCCTTTACTGAATCATGTAGAACAAATGTTCCATAAAATAAAACTAAAAACCATACAGTACTTTTTACTTGGTAGAGCATTGGGCTACCTAACATTTAGTAACTGCACAGCACAGCAAAATTACTTTTATGACTCTCAAGAAGTTAAAGGAAACCTGTAATTGTCAGTGATAATCAGGTAATAGTTGAAACAGTGTAAACTTATTTAAACACTTGCTTGTGTTGGATGGCCGCTCTCTCCTCCAGCTGCCTCCTGCTCCTCTCTCCCTCTCCCCCTCTCTCCCTTGTGTTGTGTATGTTCTGTGCCAGTCAGTGCCTTGTGCTTCTCCTGTTTTCCTTGAAGAATGTGCCGGAAGCAACGTGACAAATGAAAATCCTGTAAAGTTACCACCCACTCACCCAAACGCGCCTCGGGAGCTCCACGGTCTCCATTTGGTCACAAATAATATTCTGTTTTTGTTTTTTTGTTTTTTTCTTTTTTGTTTTCCACCGATTCATTTACATCGTCACAACACCAGAGGTCACCATTCCACACATGAACCAAGACATCGAACCAAAGAGCTAGATTCATATTGTATATTATATCTATATTTATATATATATTACTGTGCTAATGCAGAACTTTGTCAAGTAGATATAAACTCTCCATGCTTTAAATGTACACATACCATGTTATGGATCATTACATTAAGCTTTGTTGATAGTTCATCCATAATTCAGTTCTTAAAAGACATGTGATTGTGGTCCCATTTTTGCATTCCTTCCTTCATTTTTTTGTTTCATGATTTACCTCTCTCATCATCCTTTTTTCTTCCACTCCGTCCTGCCAAAGTCTGTATTTCAGGCAGAGGGAGCAGGAGAGACTGAGAATGGACTTGTGTCCAAAGTCTTGTGGCATCTCTGTTTGTGTCGTTGAAATCCCACTTGTACTGCAGCGTTGCCATGGAGACACGGAAGCAGAATCCACAGTTACTCCAACATGGCGTCCAGCTGGTCGGCGAGGTCATCGAACATGCTGCCGATGTCGTCCAGGATGCTCACTGTGGACTTCTGCTCTGCAATGGAGCTGCACACAAGAACAAGAGCGATCAGCTACACATCAGCACCGTACAAGCTGCCCACCCTTTACAATATGCCCTTCTGTCAAGTGCTAGGGTTTTACTAGAAAGAAATAACAGTATTCTAACAATGTGTTCATCCCAAATCAAGCATTTACTCACAGCAAATATCCAACCAGTCAGGCCAAGTGACTTGCTGTTGTTTATGCTCAGAAATAGAGGGGCTTTATGTTATAATTCTGTTTGTTTGATACAGAGGAAGCATTGTGACTTCTTACATAAAAATGACTTTGCTACTTTATTAAAATAAAAACATGGAACATAGTTAGGCTTCAAATAAGATTGTGATTGAGATGGAAAGTTTACTGGTTTTCAACCCATAGGACAGTGGGCACAGGGCATAGCATTCTAACAAAGTGCTACGTGAACTGAGAATCACTTCTCAATTTTGCAGCTCAGAGATGTGTGTCTCTTCTACATTCTTTGTTTGCATGATAAACCTGTATGGTACATATAAAGTAAGTACTAGGTAGAGTGTGTGATTTTAATTGGTCCCAAGGTTGTGTCATGATTATCTGAACCCCCTCTCTGCATGTTGGTCTGTGTACAGATGTGTGTAGATGTGTGCAGATGTCAGTAGGTGTCTGTAACAGTGTGTGCGCTCACTCGTCATGACGCAGGATCTTGTCCTCCACGGCCTGCAGTGCTGCAGCCAGAGAGGCGCTGGTCTCCTCCAGCTTCTGCTGCACCAGGGCGTCCACGCTGAGGTCTGTGTTGGCATTAGCAGGAGACTGGGACAGCCCTGTGCTGCCCTGTGTGCCCATGCCACTGTCCACAGACACGCCCCCAATGGAGGAGCGTGGCGGTTTGACGGGTGGCGGCGTGGGGCTAGGCGTGGCCGGTGTAGGCGGAGTCTGTGGTGTGGGTGGAGTTTGCGGTGTAGGCGGAGTCTGTGGTGTGGGTGGGGTGTGTGCGTTGGGTATAGGGCTGGGAGACTTGGTGTTGGGCGGGCTGGGGGTGTTGGTCTGGTTCAGCAGTGGAGGGGACACCACAGAGTGTGCTCTGACAGGAGCGGGGGCGGGACTAGACATGGATGGGCTGGTCGTGGAGTGCAGCAGTTTGGCAGGTTTGGGCGCTGTGGGAGGTGGCGCAGGTTTAGGGGAGACAGGTGGAGGGATCTTCTTGCCTTCAGCTAGAAACATAGTAGAGAAAGGGTAGGGTCAATATCATGATTACATTGTATTGCTTGAATGTTTTATAATGTAGTTATTTTATTTGCACTGATATCAGTTGTGGTGATTACCTGGGCTGTTATCAGTCCCCGGTCCAGGCAGTGGGACCCTCCGGTTGGACCCTGGTTGTCCCTGTGGCTGGTTCATGGGTGCTCCCTGCCTCCTGATCTGAGCCACCACAGGTTTGGGCGACACTGGGGGCTTGGGTTTCCTCAGTGGAGCCCCCTCACCCTCCAGCTGTGTGCTCTGGTCCAGACTGTCTCTCCTGGGGGGTGGTCCCATCTCCCTCTGGGGCTGCTCCGTAACTCCCTCCACCACAGACCTCCGTTTCACCATACCTGTGCCACCTGTGCCGTTCTGATAAGGGATTGGCTGGGTGGTGTTGGGGGCCTGGGTCACTTCTCCGTTGGTGGTGTTGAGTTCGGGGTAGCCCTCTGGTTCCTTGTCGCGGCTCTTGGGGCGCCGCTTGACGGTGGAGGACTCCTGCAGGGTGAAGTCTGTGCCGTTGGGCTGGCTTTTCCGAGGTCGGCGCTTCAGGGTGGGCGTGGTCTCTACGCTGGGCACTTCTTCCTGGGGGTACCCCGCCTCTGTGTGGGTGGGCTCCCGGTCCCCCTGCAGACACACACAAAATACACACTAACGGGAAAATTCATACATTCAAGACAAGGGGTGATTTTTGCACATACATTCAAAAACATCAACATCTGCTACAGTCATAGATTAGACATTTAAAGCGTACAGACACAAGCTATGAAATGTACTGTACACATTAAGATCATTGTGCTAACGTTAGGCCCAGCAGTATTTGGACATTTATTAGAACACAAAAGCTGGAGCGTTAATTAAACCCACATGGTAATGATGTTATAGTTTAGTTAGTGAAGGCTATAGGATATACACTATATTTAGCAAATATAATATTTCTCTGTCAAGATGTATTCATGGTTGATGGTTGAATCCTGCTCTTGTGACGCATACTGTCTGAACACACTGTGAGAGACTGAGTTGAACAATACTAAAACAAAATGTGTATTTTTCACTTTTATCACGTCCAAATACTTCTGAGACAAACTATGAAAATTGCTATAGTTACAAATTATTAATAGTTAATATTATATTTAGCAAAGAGTCAAGGCTATAGAAAAGTAGCAATAATAGGCTAGCATAGAAGAGAGAAGAAAGAAGGTAGATGAGGAGGACATGGGACAGAAACAACACAGAATGTTCTACCATCCCATTTCATGAAAAGCAGTAGCATTTTCTGAAATGCAATTAAAACTCAAACGCTTTAATTGGCCTTATTTCCCCACACAAACAAACACACATTAGAGTTCACTGCTGTGACCATCTTAGCTGCAGCTTTCAAAACACAGCACTGCTTTGTCAGTGTAAAACAGATACTAATGCATGTACTTTTTCATCCAAATGCCGTAGTTATGATGGTCAGTGATATAAACCCAGCCAACAACACAGATGCTACTTATTATAAAATAGTTGCTCATTAGGGTTTTCAAAACTTTTCAAAAACACCTTACACCCAAACAGAACATAAATATGACATTCATAAACATCAAGTGAAAAAGATACACAGTATAATGCTACTTATACCATGGTTTGGCTTGGACTTTTTTAAAGTTGTTATAGAGGTGTGTTTTTCTAATCACAATATTCAGAAGCACATATATACTGTGTTAATAAATTAGGAACTGTGAGCTAAATAATACAGCTACATTAATATAGTAATTGACCATGATATAAGCAGTTTATGCAAATGAGAGAAGCCTTAGCATTCGCAGTAATTGCTCAAGAGGCCTTAAGCCCCACGCCGTGGCTGTACTCAATTAAAACAGTTTTATCATTTTATATAATACACAGAGTATAACACATGCATGTGTGATCAGTACTAAATGAATGTGTTGTTATTTTTATCTAAAGTATTTTTTACATAAAAGACTTTAGACATAAAACATACAAATGCATGCATATGTTTAGGTAAGAGGAAAATGGTGCTACACATAAATGCAGTTTAGCAACATATGAAATGTGAAGGGAAGCGTAACATGAAGAAGATATACCATGCAATTAGCAATGAAAACAATCATCATTCATATTGCAATAATATTACTTGGGCATCAGCTGTATTATGTTTGAGGTCAAATCTGTATCTAGTAAAGTGACATTCACTACTGTGTACTTGGATTTTGTAAACTATGTTATCTGTATTTTCAGTCCTTATGGCTGTTTTCAATAACTTTAAAGACTGCTATATTTACCCAGCTGAAAACAACAGTATATCTGTCACAGGAGTAAGTGCACTGTGCATCAGGCTGTAGTGATAGCTCTGCACATTTTAAAAGTACCTCTTTGCCTCAGGCTGAGTGGACTGCTCAGGTCAATGTTTATACCTCACCTGAACTTTACCAGAATCACAGACACCAGCTTTAAACCAGACAAAGTTTTTGTTCCTGCTCTGCACCAGACTCAAACAGCATTATACCAATACAGATGATGATTATCACCATCACCATCATTATTTTTTTATTAGAATTACTATATTAGTATTATTATTATCATTATTGCAACTATGATGCAACATTTAACATGCAGCCCTACAGAGAAGAACAAGACATCAAGAGCGATGCTCAGAGCCATCATGGGGTTAACATGCACAACAGACTCAATTTATTGTGGCATGCTGCACAAATATATGGACAGAGAGAGTAGTCAGGTAGATGGAAGTAAGAGAAAGAGAGAAGTAGTAACATTTAGCAATAGTTACCTGTCCTTCGCCTTCACCACGCCCCTGCCGCCGGATGGTCAGGCTGCCCTCTTCAGCAAACGGAAGGTTTTCTGATGAGCTCCCACTGCCACTGCCAGCAGAGCCCGGGTGAGGCGAGGAGGGGGGGATAGGTGAGGAAGGGGGGATAGGTGAGGAGGGGGGGTAAGGAGAGGAAGGAGGCTGAGGGGAGGACAGGGGTTGAGGGGAGGAGAGAGGCTGAGGGGAGGAGAGGGGCTGAGGAGAGGCCAGCTGGTTCGGGGAGACTGCTGATGGGACAGCATTGGGGGTGAAAGCAGTCAAAGGCTGCTCTCTCATGGCTGCAGCCACCAGCTCTGCAGTGACGGGGCCGCTGATGGTCCTGCGTCTGTTCACCACCTCACCATCCAGACCCACAGTCTCACGACCTTTACCCACCTGAGGAGCACAGAGTACAGCAAGATTTGTGATGTCTGCATAGTAAACCAACAGGAACCACTGCCGTACTTTTAAACTTCATCTAAATTTTCTTAGAGACAAATTTTGAAATGTGAACAATACCTGCATGAAATTCTTCTGCAGTGCCATTCCTTTAGGTCCTCCCCCAATGGAAGACATCTCCAACATGGCGGCTATGCTCCTCACGCTGCCCATACTGGTAGTCTCGACCACTCCGCCGCTCTCCACAGACATGCCCAGATCACTGGCCCTCCTCTGCTGGTGGTAAGGCACGTCCAGCATGCCTCCCGTGGTGCTGTGGGTGGGCTGCTGCGTGGTGGCCTCACACAGGTTCGAGCTGGAGCTGGAAATGGCTGAGCTGGAACGTTTGGGTGGAGGAGGAGGAGGGCCCTTCTTTTTCTGTCGGAGGGCAATGGATTGAGTTTTGGTGTGATTTAAGGTCTTCTCCTGGTTGCGAGCTGAATGGCTCCGGCTGACACGGTGAGTGACGGTGGCATATTTAACTCCTTCTGGTCGGACTGCAGTTGAGTTCTGGACGATCGTTTGGTCGCACTCCCCATCGGACACAGCATGGCGGTTCAAAGTGCGTGCGCGTCTCATTTGGAGTGCCTCCTCACTTTCCTCCTCGGTCACATCCTGCTCTGGGGGTAAACACAGGACTGGGACTTGTGCATTCTCCTGGACTTGTGCTGTCTGTTGGTTACAGGGCGCTCGATGTGTGGGGGACTGTGGAGGTTGGGTTCTTGGAGACTGAGGTCTTTCCCCCTGACTGAGCTGAGGAGAAGTTCTGGGTTTGGCCTGCGGGGGCGCTGTACTCTGAACTGAAGAAGTGGAGGAGGAAGAGGAGTTTCTGGTCTTGGTGGGCGTGTGGGGTGGAGTGTAAGGGGGGGCAGGCTGGGAGTGAGAGTGTCGGTGTTTGCCCTGTGAGGACACACTGCCCCTGTGGGAGGAGGAGGTACTGCTCTGACTGCTCTGTTGCCTCATGGTGCGTGCCTCTTTTTTGGGTGGTCCGTGGTTGACTGCGTCGTCATGGTCCCGGCTGAGAGTGCGTGTGCGCGGGGCTTTCACCTCTGGTCCTGGATGGCTCATGGCGTTCTGGAGCTCCGTGCTCAGCTCACTGTCCTGGAAAGTGCTCATCTTAGGAGACATCAGCTCTGCAGAAAACAGAAAATATGTTTTGAATTTCTTCTCTAAATGTATTGTTATTTTTTGCTATTATTAGTTTTTACTAATCACCAACTCATGTAAAATTTAAGCCCTATTTCTAAGCTAAAAACTTTAATTTGGTCATTATTACATATTGCAAAAATTAAAGAAATATGCAATATAGTCAAATGTAGTCAAAAGATACAACCAAATCAGTGTAGCACCACTATAATTATTATAAGTTGACTTCCTTGTCACATCTATATCACATGTGTACCCGACAATGTAAGGACCTTTCAATTCTGATAATAAATTTTAACAAGAGACTTTTTGGATTAAGGAGCTGTAAACATGTAGTTTACTAAAGCAGAACAGAAAGAAAAGCAGAGCCTCCAAACCCCCATCCCCTGCACCATATCCAGCAGACCTCAGTCCAGATAACTTTCTTATGAAGAGTCCACACAACAGTGAAGCTGCACTGACTCACCGTCTGGAGGCGGGCTGTCCATAGAAGTCACGTCCTGCTGTGTTGTGATTGGTGGAGGCTTCTTTCTCATGGAGCCACGTCCATCTGTCCCTCTCTGTATTTCAGCTAAGCGCTTCACTGCCAGCATCAGCTTCTTCTGGTGCCCTAAAACAAGCAAATTAAGAGACATTCTTTAGGAAGAAATATTTCAAGTTTTGGCTAATTTAATTAATATCTTGTGTTATGTAGTTATAAATGCATATTGCCTTTGTGTCTTTGGGCAGTACACATACCTTTGTGTGAATGTGGTGTTTTTGAGTGATGGTGAATGTCTGAGGGCCCAAGGTGCAGCTTGGCAGCCACGGTTCAGTCACTTACCACCACAGAGTATGGAGAGTGAATAAATAATGCATGCTGTTTTAAAATGAGTGCCCACAAAAGCTTTATATAGTGTTAGTTCAATGCATGATGTAATAATCAGTTATTATAGGCACATCACTGACAAAGGGGAGTACATCTATTCAAAAGCAGAGCCAGGTGAACCCACCCCACGCTTAATATGTTTACACCACTGTTTTGAACAGAGACACACATAATCACAGCGGCTATGATCTTCTAGATTATCTTCTTTCACACCATGAATCCAAGATTATTATTTTTGTTTATGTTCAAATCTTTTCTTCTTACCTAGTTTTGTGATTCCAATCTCCTGTAGGTCCTCCCACGTGATGTCTGTGATAAAGTCAATGTTCTCGTAGCCATTTTGCACCAGAACTTGATGGTATTGACTCAAACCAATAGCATTCAGCCATTCACCTAGATTATCCTATAGAAGGAAAAAGTGTCTCATTAGGCAACTCAGACACCATAACATTTCATGTTATGAGCATTTTCAACTCACTGGTTTCTGTTCTGGCAACCACTCTGTGACGCTGATCTTGTTAATCTCCGAGCTGATTTTCTTTCTGTGGCCGGGTTTTGTGATTCCGATGGCTGTCAGGTCCTACACATAGACATTCAGCTCAGTACATACAATTATACAAAACTCTGTCAGCTTTCGAATGGCATTCATTCTTTCAAACACACACACAGCAGAGAAACAAAGAAACAGCAAGGCATTTGAAGAGTGGAAAATGTGCCAAACTTATAATTAATGCAAAAGCAAATGTCTAGAGTGGAAAAGAAGCGTCTCTTTTTAATTCTATAGCTTCAATCTAGATTATATTTTGACATTTCTTCAAAACATGGTATAATTAATTAAAGCGCACTTGACCGGTTCTGGATTTTTAATCAAACCAAACATTATGTGAGCACTTTGAACATGCACAGCTGTGACCATAGTGTAGAGATTTGTACAAATAATTTATAGATGCCATAAATTATTTGTATTCAGGTGAATGTGGTACTGAGCTACTTATCTATAGGCAGCAGGAGTGTTGAGAGGAGAAGCACATTGTGGAAATGTTTGGTAAAGTAAATCTGGATTATGAATTACATTTTATTTTTAAAGTTTTCAATTCAGTTATTACTGTGTATAGCCTAATATTGTTTTAAATCAATCTACATATAGATCTTATGAACACCATGGTAATAACTTTGGTTTATATTAAATTTTTATGGCAATAAACTAATAAAGATGCATTATGCAACTTTTCAGGTGCAGTGTCTCCATGGAGATGTTATTGTTTTGCCTGGAATGTTCCACAATACAGCTTTAAACTTAACTTGTGCCAAGTTACAGGTCAAATCTGTGGAGAGGTGAGCTCCAGAGTGCATCTTTTTCAAGGTATTTTTCAGCAATAAAACACCTGGTATAGAATAAAAGCTAGCGACACACATTTAATGTCGTATACAGTGGAACATTCCAGGCAAAGCAGTAACAGCTCAATGGAGGAGTTGACGGACTCAGAAAGGTTACATAGTTAAACTTTAAAGTATGTCCTATTTGTCTCATTTAGTCATATTTAAGTTAATATTTTAAGGACAATATATTAATAAATTACAACTGTGCACAAATGGAAACTGTAAACCATAAATTATATATTACATTATTTAAGGAAACAAGGAAGTAGAGGGGAAATATATTGAATAATATAGATATAATGTGTTGTGATCTGGGTTTGGGTTATTTTATTCTGAAAATCTAAAGGCCGTTTCATGCATGCATCAAGGACAGCACAAATCAAGGCCTGGCTGCAGTCCCGTTGTGGTCCTTGGCGGTGGCTGGTGGCTCCGTGGGCTGAGGGTATAGAGCAGGGTGCTGGGGCCTTACCTCAGGGGTCACTCGGCTAATGGTGGCCAGGTCATAGCCCGCACTCAGGAAGTTTGGAGCGTAGACCTGCAGCTGACAGTCGCTCAGCCACTGGACCACAGCCTCTGAGCTCTACGAAGAGAAGAGACGGGCATGCAGTCACTGGCTCCAAGTCTGAGGGCCAATCTTGCTCCAGAGGGTCAAACGGTGCCGCTGCTCCCCATTTAAAGCACACCCCACGCACTGAGGCCTTGGCTTTAGTTTGTATTGTGTTAGCACATGTCTGTCAGGGGGAGAGACTCTGAACACGGAACTTGAACCATCATGATTAAAATGATTTATGTTAGCAGGTTTAGTGTTTCAGCTAATTTTAGTATTTCTATTTTGTTATTTCAAAATTAGAAAGTCAAGGCTGTAGATTAGTTAAAACAATAATGGAGCAATTAGAAGAGCAAATATAGCAAAGAGCCCCATGTCTGAATGGACTTAACTGTGACTGAGAGACACAAGACAGTGATACACAGACTGTAGACAGAAATACACCCCAGAGGACATAAACCTGTCTAAGGGTAAGTTTAAGATGTGCTTTACTATTCACTGCAGCTATCTCAAGATCTTGATAATGTCAGCTTTAGAAAGTATTCATTTAGGACAATTTATACAAACTGTAAAATTAGTACAACCAAGACAGATTTTGCAGTAAAGCAAGGTGTAAGCTATTTATTACCCACAGTAAGGCTCAGTATTTTATAGTGAAGCCTGACAGCCCAAAATCTGGGAGTTTATTACTTTCTTCCATATAATCTTTGGCAGCTCACTTCCTCTACACAGCATTTTAAAATAAAGTACGGGTTTAGTAAAAACTAAAACTAAATTTACACAGAATTTTGGTGTTCTTAAGCAAAGAAGGAAACAATAAAACTATATTTCAAACACATGAGACTTTTTGTGATAACGTGTTCACAAATATATTTGGCACACTGGAAACTTACCACAAAGCTTGTCTCTTGAAATCTTTTATGCTACTTATTTAGAATTTATTATTACCCTTTATACTTTTTGCTCTTTGTTATTATATTATATTGTTATGAGTGAGCTACTATGTCCAAATAATTTCCCTTGTGCGTCAATAAAGTTTGTCTAAGTCTAAGTTTAAGTTTGAATATATCATGTCAATGCTATTTTACAAAAAAGTTGGAATTTTGAAAATTGGGCAACATTAAAAAGGTAAACGTGATATTTTCTTTTTGGAATTCAGCCTGGAAAATGACCTTGGGATCTTGGGATGAGAAAGTCCCCAAAACTTTCCACAGATTTAACAAACGGGGTGCCAGTGTCAGTGGAGTTTCCTCTTAGCGACGGTTTGTTCAGATGCTGTGTTAAGGAATGGGGGCTACCAGATGGTCCTGTGAATATGGCCTCCATGACAGCACACTCCACAACACACAAGACTGACTGCATACACCGCCACCTGCTGCTCAAATATGCTTCACGCTTTTCAACATGACGTGAACATACATGAACTGCATGCTTTACTGTACATGATGTAAGCCAGCCTTCACACTCCCGCTAGTCCACCCACTCCAACCACACTGCTGGCCACCTTTACCCATTCCCTTGCCAATATCTGCTCCGTTCTGCTCGCCTGAGGTGACTCTACCTGCTAATTATATCCTTGCAAAAGAAAAATACCGTGATGAGCGAGAGAAGCTGCAACTCAAAAGATTAAAATTCAGATGGAGAAGCAAGAGAAAGAAGAGAGGATTTGCATTTGTTCAAGTTGGAGAATGCCCATTCACACACACTCACCGGATCATGGCTGCATCCAAAAACTCGTAGGACAGACGCGGCGAGTTGTGAGAGGAAGCGCTGGGACATGTTGCTATATGGATGTTCAAATATGTGTAGTGACTAAAGTGGATGAGACGCTACATTTTCCTAGTGCAGTTGCTAATAGTGAGCGTGTACTGTATGTAAAATCTGTGTTGGCGTGGGACCGTCCTACCTTCCCCTCCCCGGCTCCCTCTGCCTTCCGAGTGGGCACGGCGTCATAGGGCGGCGCTTCGTGGAGTGGGCAGCCTGATTGGCTCGATGTCCGCGAGGATGGGGCCGATCCTGAGGGAAGACGCATGATTGGATAGTGGTTAGTAGTCAAGCTTTCTTGGTAAACACAGACAGGCAAATGGGACGTCTTATTTAGATGTCATGTCAGTCTACACACAAAAACCAATCAGATTCTTGTGGACACTTTTGGCAGACCCTCGTGCTTGTCTTGGCCATCTGTCGGTTAGACCGGTCCAGATTGGTCAGTGCGTGGCCGTGTGTGAACTCAAGTCACCTGCCATTTGAAGATCACGACTGCTCATTTGTATTAAATAGCCTTAGTCATTCCAAGCATACAGCTTCTTTATAAATGTAATCTACAGACAAATCTTTGCACTGGTATACATACAAGAAACAGAATAAAACATGTATTATGTGTCATTATTGTGAGTAAAAATACAATGTTTTTAGAGCTCACATGACCAACAAACTCACATACTATGACGCTCTAACAAGTATGCCATTATTTGCTATTCTGCACACCTGTCTTGTCCATAGACTGTATAAAAAAGTAAACTAGGCTGCCACACACTACAGGATTTTTCAGTCTTAAATGATTTTTAAACGTGTGACAAAAAGTGCACACCATAGACATGAGGAGAATTATGAGACTTCACATCTACAATCGCAAAAACTGCAGCTGGATATGACTGCGGACCACAGGCTATGAAGTTGTGAGCGTGAGCGTGTCAGATGTTTCCTGTCTACAGTAAAACCCCTCGCTTTGAGACTCAAAAGATCAGATCACTGCACTTCTACTTTAGACACAAGTCAAAACTGTTATTATTATTGAATATATGAATATAGTGAAATGTGGTGCAATACTTCAGATACATGATTTTTAAAGCATAAGATTGACAATAAAGTACACAGGAAGTAGAGTCATTATCGCTAATCTGCAGCTTCACCCCGAAACAAACAGACGCACGAGGACAATTTCTATGAATAATGTGGATGAGAAGCTGCACTTTAAATTTACCACTTCACAAGAGGTGAGTAATAAAGTCCTCTCATTATTTTCGCTATATCCCCTTTAGGGAGTGTGACGTCACCGATAGTGTTCTGCCCCAGTCAAATGAAGCTTGCGATGCTAGCGGTTATAGGGGTGAATTTGAAGTCAAGGTCCATATTAGGATAGGATAGGTTCGTATTATTTACGGACAAAATGGCAAAATAAAAACACCGGGATCTTATAGAGCGGGCTAATATGAACATTTTAAAACTAAAATGACAAGGCTCGCAGCAGCAATTACAGAGAAAGTGGTGACAATTTTTCAGTGTAAAGTCAATTTTACATGCTTTACATATTCAGTCTATGGTTTTGTTACTGATTTTGAAAATAATCAGTAATCCTATACTCTCATATAGTCCAAAGAAGTAAAGCGGCAAAATGTTTTCATTCTAAAACTTTTGTCCAGTTGACAGAACAGAATTTTTCTTTTGCTATGGATCATACCTGGATGACTGAAGGATTACACAGAACTACCTGCTATGAGCAAATGAATAACAATAAACCAATCAGGTACCTTCATTCCCAGAGGTTGGCTCTCGATAGCGTTAGCAACAAGAGTGATTGACAACTATCACCCGCCCAATGCTAAACCAAAGGGAAGGGGCGAGTATCTGATGGCTCTTTAGTTGCAATGAACTATGCACTTGGAATGTCAAACATGGAATTTGGCTCCTCGACTGGCTGGAGCTGAACAATATGGTGTCCCTCAATCCACTTCTAAGCCTATATATACAGTCTATGATCAAGTCAATGGCCAATTGACTTTTACCAGAAGAACCACGCTAGGCTCCATAATTTGCATGGATTGTTACATAAAAAGATCATACTTGTGGGTAGAGTCTTATACCTGTCTGGTCCACAGATTTCGACTGTTCCATTAAGTGCTCCTTGGCTTTGGTCGACTGTGACAGCACTGTGGCCAAGAGCTGCAAAAAGACAGAGTGCATATTTAAAACAAAAGCCCTGCCAATCATAAAACACTGCATTGAACAAATAGAGAAAGTGTGATAAAAATATATACGTGTGTCATCCAGAAATTGTGTAACTCCTCATATTTTGCATATATTAAATTCTAAAAAAGATTTACATTATTGTCAAGTTTTTCAGTACTCCAAAAAAGTTCACGCAAAATGGCCTTTTAATCTGTGTCATAACTTTATTTTGTCATTCTGAAAATGTAATTCCATAAAGCATTTCACATTTTAAAGATGCACTATGTACCTTTTCTGATGCAGGACAGACTGCTTGGTTGTCTCTGTGAAGATGTTATAGCATTGCCTTGTCTGTTCCACTGTACAGCGTTAAAAGTGTGCATTTATTCAATTACAGATGTCTTTAATGTTGAATTAAAAATATTTAATTGTTGGCACTAAGTTAAATGCCATACTGAGGAACATTTCAGGTGAAGCATCTACATATTTAGGGAGACAAGCAGATCATTGACCCTCTATAAAAAATGCATGTTTAAACGTCCCATATGACACAAAACTGACTCTTTTGAGCTTTAAGACATGTTCTATATCTCCAAAGCTCAAAATGCTCTATTCCACCTTGTGATGTCATGTAGTGGTAGTTTTCAAGTTAACAGTTACTTTTACCTTTACTTCAGCAGGTATTGGTAATTCCAGGTCTGAAATCATCCAAACACAGATGATGAGGAAACTACATTATAACAGAGGTCAGAGAATTGTGTAATATGGGTCTTTTAACATATTGTTTCCCAAAGACTGGGTCGCGACCCTCAGGTGGGTCGCAAGACATTTTTTTTGGGTTGCCTGATATGAGTGTTGAGCTCTCCTCCTGCACCTCAGACTGGAACACACTACAAAAACGCAGACAGGCCCACCTACCTCATTAGAAATGTTGAAATGTTAAGATATGTTTTGTATTATTTCAAATATTTTTGTAATTATTTTACTGACTATTTTGTTCCAATATTGCTGGTCCAATTGAATGTTGAAAAGAAAAAGAAATGGACTACATTTAATGTCCAAATAGGCGACTTATAGATCCTTTTATTGCTGGTTCAATTACTGTTATTCATTGTTAAAACCTTGAGTAATACTAATTGTTCGGAGAGACACGATCATTCAGTCAACAATAAAATATCCTCATTAATGTTCAATAATCATCAAATCCGCCTTTATTTAGTGATTTATGAATAATGTCTATTGATTTGAGTTTTCTGACTCCAAACAGTTTGCTCCTGATACAAGTATATTTAAATTTTGTGTGCTCCTATACAGTTGTGGGTGGTGTACCTTGACCCCTTCGGCCTGAGCGTGGAGGATGTGTGGAGCACTGCCCGCACTCTGTCCGCTGCCCGACGACCTGACACTGGCCACGCTGCCCGAGCTGCCCAGACTGCTGCGGTCTCCACCTGCAACGCCAGCCAGCCCATTCACAAAAACAGGACACAACACACATGGACATGCGTTCAGTTCTGCAGCACACACCGGTATAAACAGTAGTGTGTGACTCTCCATTGAAATGCACTGGGCAGCGTGTGGACATAAATGGACATAAATGGACATATGGGACGAGGCCAGACAGGAGCGACAGTGATGGTTTGCATGGTGACAAGTGTATTCCACAAAGACACACTTTTGGCACACATCTCAATCTCTCCTATTTGGGTTTTGTATCGTCTTTCAGTTGTTTTGATTTTGCTCATACATAACATTTTCAATCATCCATTTGGAGAGACAAGACTAAAGACCGATGCGGATGGCTGCTGGAGTCCTACACATAAGGGCACTGGTTTTCTCTGTCTTTTGAATGGAGAATAGATATGGCAGACTACCAGAAGCACCAGGGTCAAAAAGTATCTGAAAAGCCTTCCAGCGACTTGGGTTGTGGGGTGAGTCTGAGAAAAACAAGAGCTTTGGCAGACACTGTTTGAGGCTGGCAGGGCGTCCCGGGCTCGGTTACCTGCCACGGGCTTGCGCAGGACCCAGATCTCCTCGTTGGAGCCTCCATGGGGCCCGCTGGATGGGGTGGGAGAGCTGTGAGGACTGGCCTCTGAGCCGCGACAACCTTCAACACAGAACACCACGGTTAGCTGCGGATGGGCCCTGGGCTATAGCTGCTTTGGGAGGGCTCACACAGCCACTCTGCTCAGAAGAATGATAATCCAACTACCTTCTGGTTAGTATTTGGGTGGGAAAGCTACCAATCAGTTATAATGAGAAAAGGCGATGCAAGAGCTGGTTTGGAAAGTGTTAAAAGAATCAATTGTAGTTATTCCGATATTTGAGAGCATTTTTTATACTAGTAGCTTATGTACACATTAAAGTAGACATATTGTGTATACTTTTTGTTAATTGTAAACTTCAATATTGATTGAAAACAGGTTAAAAATAGAAAAAGGTGCCCTTTCAAAACTGTAGAAAACTGAGAATCCCCACAGTTTCATAGTGGAATTTCACCATAACAGGTAGTATATTTTCGATTACCTGCTTGTATTGGAAAAGTTGGAAAAATGTTTGTATGACTTGAATTGTTTGGACTTGCAAGTAAGTAGTAGTAGTAGAGCTGTGTGGGTAAATAGGGGGTAAGTAAAAATAGAAGATTTTTGAGCACTCAAGTTGCAAATACAGGACAATATAGGAATCAATCGAAACTCTGGGTCAGTCGAAACTTTAGGAATGATGAGGGAACACTGTTATAACATGGTCAAAGCTCCTAAAAGTCCATTTTACATAATAAGTCACCATTTAAAGTTTGGCTTATTTAGGAGTAGTAGTAATTTCTCTTTATTTTTTGCTTGAATATCTCTAATATTTCATATGGAGACGCCTTATCTTAATAACATGGTTCCTGTAGGACATTTACTATGCAGAGTAGAGTATTGAAAAAAGGGGGCGGGATGTTGTCTGTAGGTTTTTGTTAGGTAAAAAAGGGGGCGGATCGATTTTGGCATTAGTACGGGGACCAATCAGGGAGGTTTTAGGTTCAAATCCGCTTTCATTTCACACAGCAGCACACATACATACACAGATAAAAACAGCATATAGATATACAAATATATCCATATAAAACATTCATATAGTAATAAACCAATCCATAACATGATTATTTGTGCGTATCCACTTGAATGCCACAATGTAGATACAGGTACATATATAATGCATCCAGAGTGTGTGCTTATATATGTGGGCCTTTCAGAATGGTGCTGCTGTAGTGCATTTGGAGAGAGTCATAAACCATTATAAGCATTTATCAATGGTTTATCTGTGTGATCAACAACAGGGCTTTAAAAACAGACTTGTCATCAAGACCTCCAGCTGCCATTTCACAAACAAAAGTATACATCCCCTCCACAGATAGGTTTTCAACAGTATGCACTTTGATATGGATTTTGTAACACAAGACTCAGTATCTGGACTGAATGTTTTTGGTACATGGTCCAATCAGAGTACTGTATTCTGAATACTCACTGTAAATGGTATTTTATTAAGTGGTAACATATAATATCGTTATAGTCCCATTTATTACTGTTTACTGCAACATTTTGTATCACTAATGCCATGTAGTCTGAAACCTAAATTACATGATCAAGTTCTACAATGTACTTCTTTGATTTGAAATATATTTAACTGTATTCTGTACTAGAATATTGTTCCTCAAAATGAGCATTCAGAATACTACACTTATTTTGGTACATGCATATAGTTACTTTCCAGCACTGTATGCATGCTTGTCAGATATTTAAGTGCCAATGAGAAATATATAAATCAAAATTGCCTGTTCACAATCATGTGAAAGTTAAATGCATACAATTTGAATGAAAATGGCAGTAAGGTTAAAATATAAAACTGTACTTGCAACACATTTAACCATACACTTAAAGTTATTCTTATAAACTCGCAAACAGTATAATAATGTAACCACCGTAGCTCTAGATTACCACAGTAATAGACAGAAGTGTGACAGCTCAGTTTAAGGCATTCACAGTTGTCTTTGGAGCTAGCCGTCACTCGGTATCATGCAACACAGTGCGGGCCGGTGCAAGTGAGGAGGAGGCAAGGTGTATGGGGAGAACGGGTAGGACGGACAACACAATAGCCAGTGTGCTGTGAAGGTGGGTGTGTTGGACTGGTAAAGTGCAGCTTAGTCCAGGTGGGACAGAGGTGACCACACACAGGAGAGGGAGGAAAACGAAAGAAAAAAAACAAAAGCAAACCCCCCCACAAAACTCATAACAAAAGCCATAATTGAACAAATGTTAAATGATAAAAAGAGCTCTAAAGAGACTACTATTACTATTGCTATTACTATTACTTATCCATTTTTACCTAGTAAATATACAGTAGATGTACTAGTGTCGTTTACATAACCAGAAGTTTCTTGGGGTTCAATTAAATGTCTGCCTTATCTAAATAAATATCTAATAAATGTAAGAAATTGATATATCCAGCTTTCTTTTCCCTCCAGAATTGAACTGTAATAGCAGAACTCTGTGACAAAAATCTGACCACAACATGCCCTCTTCATTTAATTAGAAAACATTACAAACTTTAAGAAAGAGCCAAGTGAGTCACTTATATGACCCTTTGGGGTGAGAGCTGAGTGGCTGTGAGAGGATAGTCCTTCCTGCTTCACATTTCTCAGCAAAAGCTGTTCTAAAGCTGTGCTGGTGGCCAAAAAGACATGCATGTGGATGCTATCGCTGTGCCAGAGGGTTTGTGAGAGGTAAAGATAGATTTACTGCAACTTTAACTTGTCATAATACTTAAGTTGTTCTCATTAAAACTCCAGTGCTGACTCTATCACTCACTCTCTCTGATTATTGCAAATATGAACTCTCAAACTCTAAACCATAAAAAATATTATTATAAATAATATAAATTAAGAACACATACAAGTACAAAAATATAAAGATGCATGGGAACTTTAATGGATGCCTTCTTCCAACACAAATCTAAAATCTTACATGACCAATTGAGTACTACAGTAGCAAGCACAGGAAAGCATCCCTTGAAGCTTTAATAATAGCATAATAATAAATATAATAATAATGAAAAGGGGGGGTGTACCTGGGGCAGTGGGTGTGTCTCCCTGTGGGGTTGTCACGGGCGACCTGCTATAGCCAAAGGAAGTGAAAAGTGGAAGCAGTGGCTGATGGGAATGTGGTGGAGGAGGAGGCGGTGGAGGCAGGATATGGATCTGATGGAACGTGGTGTCGTTGCCGTTGACTACCGCGTTGGCAGGGGCAACCGTTGCCGGGGGAACCAGTGGTATCTTTTGAAACTGTTGAGTGCAAATGACTGTGCTGGCCAAACCTAGATACACCCACCGTGACAACACACACCAACACACACACACACCAGTCAACGGTGACACACACAGACCACACAACAGAGAGTTACACACAAGAAAAAAGGGGAAAGAAATTTAAAATAAAGGCTGAAATCACAAACAGAAACAAATAGGATGGACGCAATGTGATTAAGTAAAAAACAGGAAAATAAGTAAAACAAAAACAAAATTATATAAACTGTGTGTATAAGTAAGGTTGACTGTATCCTAAAAGAAGAAGTGGAATATGATTGTCTCAGAGCTGGAGAGGTATTTACAGCTGGATAATGTGAGTGAAAGTTTAATTTTGTGATATATGTATACTACTAAAAAAAACTACAAAAATGAAGCAACTTTGTCACTAGACTAAATGACAAAAAATGTAAAGAAATATTCACAGCAGCACATTCTCTTTAAAAGACATATTACTGGAAAAGGGATAGCTGCCAAGCACCTATCAGCGGTTACTGCCTGTATTTATGTTAAAGCAGTGAATGGTTTAGTTTGTGCTATATGGCTGATGGCAAAGAAAAGTGTGGTTGTGGTTAAGTAAAAAAGATAACACAAAATAAATAAAAGAGTAGACTGACACATGATAGTACAAAAAACAGAAGAACATGACGCTAAGACATTAGAAACATCTGAATCTGTAGAGAAGAGAGGCCCTCGCAGAGCTGCAGAAGCCTTACCAGAGCACACACACATGTTGGTGGACTACAAATCTACTGGGCGCTTTGGCACAGAGCTGGACGCCGCTTCGCTCCTCTTTCCAAGCTGTTCTTCTGTGTGCCATTCAAAGCGGTTCTACACTTACACACACTCACAAACACACCTGTGCGCTTGCTGATGACCTCGACCATGGTGGACGGGAAGTAGCCCACTCTGTCATTTCCTGTCCGGTTGTCATGGATACAGCCTTTCCAGCGGCCGTCTGGGTGTTGCTCTAAAACCTGTACAAACAATACAGAAAGAAATGAATGTATTATTATATGTGTTCGTGAATTCTTTAAGCTATATGTTTGTATGCTACTGGAAACTTGAATTTATCCAGAGAGATCGCCCAAAAACAGACATTTTCTCTACATGAGTTAGTCATGTCCCAAATACACAGTTTTGATATTCCAGTGCAGATGTGGTTGTGTTACCGTGATGACATCTCCTGCTTTGATGTTGAGGCTGGTCAGGTCGTAGTTGTTGCAGTAATCCTTCAGAGCTCGGACCTGGAGAGCAGCTGACGCATCTGACCAACACATACAATGTCATCATATAGTTTTCTTCAGACATAAGTCAAAGCTGATATACTCATAGTAGTAATGCCAATTACACGAAAAGAATAAAGTCTCAAAAATTCTTAACAGTGTGTGTGTCTTTTGATCTAGGAAACAGTGGGTGCAGCATACCTCTGAGCAGCTGCTTGATCTCTCGACTGGCTTGTGTCGCAGTGAACTGATAAACAATGTCCAGCGCAGTCTGGCTGTAGGTGTTTCTCACTGTAGCATTGATTCCACACTAGACACACACACACACACACACACACTTAGCACTTCAGTAACACATAAATATACAACTATATATGGATATTTTATGAATGTGTTCTGGGCTCTAGGCATAGAGACATGATTATGCACCAGCACAGCTCAGGCAAAAACAGCTCCAGGTCTTAATTACAATATAAGCAAGGATAGCTACAAGCAAAGTTAAAATATCACATTGAAACAGATGAATCATATGATCAGATCTCCCCGCAGGACACAGACTCATAGCCTTTTCAGCCAGTGATCTAAAAGGCACGGCCACTTTCTCATACTTCTCCTTTCTTTAAACCAGATTGTGTGTGCTGTTGTCAAGGCCTTTTCTTTTGACTGAGAATATCACCAGTAAAAATTTGCATCGTGGCTCCCTTTAACATTCATGGAGAGGATTCATTCATGAGGTAAATGCCAAGTGTCTCATGTGCAGTTTAGCATACCTCCAGCAGGAGTCTCACTGCGTCAGTCTTCCCACATAGAGCGGCTTCATGCAGGGCAGTGCCTGCTTTGGTCTGCCTGTTGATGTCTATACCCGCCTGGATCAGGAGTCTGTCAGAGGAATGTACCAGGAGACATAAAAGTGAGGGCATTATAAACAAAAACACTTACATACCAAGGACTGTCACTAATTTACCGTGTTTGTTTAAAGGTTTGGCTGTACCATAAAAAGACACATTAAAATTAATACATGGACCCTGATATGTCTACATGTATCAGCATTGCATCACAATGTTACATACTGTATGAAATAATTATTTTAGAAATGACTTTGTTTTCCTTTTTTTCTCTTTGCATCCCCTTGGTCTATTGGCCTTCATTTATTTGATAGGAAGAGTGCATACTAATGAACATCTTTAACAGTTATAGAGTAAATAATATGTTGTCTCAGTGCAGGTAACAGAGACATACTGTAATAATTGTTTCCAGCTGAACCTCTTGAGAATTAAAGCATTGCATTAAATGTAGCTGCACACAATGCCTGTATTTTCCAACCAGTTATGATGTCATACTTTTCCCCTGTTGTACTAGAGGCCCCGTTTACACCTTTTGGAAATAATACTTTTTTACTTATTCACCAACAAATTCTATTATACTCGCTGTTTTATACTCTCTCATCTTAAGCATACAACTTTTAAAAAAAAAATTATTTGTGAATTAAATGTATTTAGAAGACTAAGCTAATATATACTGTATGTGTGGGTTTTCATACCTGATGATGTCTATGTGTCCATTCTTTGCAGCCAGATGAAGAGGAGACGTCCCATTAGGATCTGTGGTGTCTCCTTTTTTAGGCTCCAACAACGCAGCACACATGTTACTGGATAACAACAACTGCACCACCTGCGCATACAGACATATATATTTAAATACAAATATGTATGGAGGACTTAACCAATTATAATGTGCATGTGCACAAGATGAAATAGAAGATCTCCTCAGAGTCTCTGAGTATTTCTTCAGAGCTGACTCTATCAACATCCTTCTACCTCTCACTCACTTCTCAGCCAATCAGCAGCCTTCATTTGCCTTTTCAGACATGTGTCACACCCCTCCTCCTCCTCCCCACCTCAGTAACAGAAATCTGACATCTCTCTTCCATCCCCAGGTCACAAACACAAACCCATGAAACAGCTCAGTATCATCTCTTCACCAAATCTAATAAACTTATTTAAAATGACCATTCCTTCAGGCATTATTCTTCTCACTATAATCATGTCCCAATCTGACACCATGAGCACTGTCCTGGTAAAAGAGCATGACTCACCCCCACACGTCCGAACTCGCAGGCCAGGTCCAGGGGCGTCTTTCCTGCATTATCCACTATACACGGATTAGACTGGTGCTGCAGGAGCATCTCAGACTGGACACAAACACAGCAGATCAATATCACTTCAAAACATTGGAAAGCACAGAAGGATTAACTGTTTTATATATTTCTAAGAAACAACAGCCTGCACCATTTGCACCATTTGTCTGTGAACACACAGTTTGGTTAGCTGTGCACATAGTGCAATGTTTAATCAATGCTTTCAAGTACTCTAGCAGCCTTCAGCCTGGGTGCTTGGGTACACGGTACAATGGTGTGAAGCTAGTTACTTGGAAAATGTCAAACCAACTGTGCTGATGAAAAGATCCAATAGTTTAAATGCAATTTTATGGTCAGTTCTAGAACACAAGTAATAGACAGTGTCACCTACTGCACAAAATATGATTTCTTACAATCTATACTGTAGCTATACAGTTTATATTCAAAGCTCTTTTAACAAATTGCCCTGACTCCTTAAATTTCAAATAAATTATCCTCATGAAAACTAGTCCAAGTTTAAAAACATAAAAATGCTTGTTTGTGTTACATAATATTCAGAGAGATGTAACTTTTGGACACACAGTGCTAATTGTGCAGGCTAGAGCTGAAACAGTGAGCAGTGGGCGACTCACCACGTCGTAGTGTCCGTGCTGCGCTGCCAGGTGCAAAGGGATCTGTCCCTCATCTGATTGGCCGTTCACAGAGGAGCCCGCTTTAAGCAGCATCTTCATTGGCTCAGCTCTGCCCTGCCACGCGGCATAGTGCAGCGGGCGCATACCTGTCAACACATATCACCAACAGTGAAGGAAACTGTACGAGTTTATGTAGACTCAATATGCTCAATGATCCAGCCTAAAATAGATTGTGATGTGCTGAAAATAAGCACATAACAATCCATTTTATTTTATTGTAGTGTAGCAAACATGAATAACATTTAAAATATCATTTATCAATAACATTTATCAAACATAATTTTTCTAGAAAATGGTCCATTTCTACTATTTTGTTTAGACAATGTTTAAACCTCAAGCAGATGCTGCATTTGTTTTACTGAATATGAACATGGTCAGTTAAATAAATGCAGAATCCTCTGACCTTTCTGGTCTCTGATGTCCACTGCAGCCTGAGACTCCAGCAGCAGTGAGATGACCTCCGCGTTCCCATTGAGAGCAGCATGATGCAGAGGAGAAAACCTGCACACACACAATGGTAAATGTAACCTTAAGCTTTTCTATTCTTTATTTGTACAAATGTCTAATAAACCACACACTCAGAGGCAGTAATAATGACTGTGGATGACAATGGCTGGGTACAGCAGCCAGCATCAGATGGAATCTACACAGGGCCTAAAATAGCAGAGAGCAAATGCACACAAAGCAAAAGCACTGAGTTATGTAACACCATCTGAGGCGGGAGCGGGGCAGATAATGATATGGTGGATTTAATAAAGTACTAGGAGTTTAATTAAACATGTAATACTGAAAATGTTGAGATCAAATATAAACCTAGTGATATGTGTGGCACTGTGCATTCTACACATTTATCCATCTGAAAAAGATTTGGCTGAAAGTGATCAGGAAAATGCATAATGTAATGATGAATATTTGAAACTGACTGGTGTCACAAAAAAACCTGTATTTTTACTCATATTGGCAGAAGTACATCATGTTTGTTTTGGTTCACTTGGGTACTTTGCCTTTGGTCCCTTGTTCAAAAAAGAAAGGCAGCCCATATTTTAAACATTGGTTCTAATAAATAGGCCTATACTCCACTGGAGGCATTTCCATCTCCACACGGGTAAAGTAGCAGGTGCATTTAAATGAATCAGTGTAATACAACTTTACGAAACAGGTTGACAAATGAACCAAGCTGAAAAGGCACTCTAACTCTCGTTTACAGTCCACCATACACCTTCATCTGAAAGCCACCAATCCATCAGCTGAAAACAGTGAGGTGCATATTTTAAGCAGGGAGGAGGGGCGGTTTGAAATACTTTTGTTGAAATAGAAAATACGTCTCTGAACTTAAATGTACAATTTTTTACTTAAATCATGGCAGAGCTCAAGTGAGTGAAAAAGGCAGGCACTGAGCACCGCTAAATGGGAATCAAAAAGCTATTACCGTCACATAGCGATACTCACCACATTGTACAGTGCTTGCTAAATGCGGTGTAACTGTAAGCCATGCGTCCTAATCAACCTGCATTTGTTCATTTCCGTGGCAACCGGCTCTTCTTGCTTCTCCTGCCCAGGGTTAAACCAGGATACTGTTACAGCACGCTGCCCTGGCACACGGCTCAGGGGGTGTACAGTACGAGGGGGGCAGGGGAGGGAAGCCCCAGCAGCTTCATCTACGTTGTAAAAGCTGCTATGCAATATTCATAGGTCCTTCTCTGCTCCTCACGCACACATCTCTGTCCACCTCTACTATGACAAAATTACATCACATTTCTCTTTATTATTGTAGGGTTGATGTTGATGCATTTTTACATTTTAGTTCCAAATCTCGCAAAAGTAATTGTGCTGTAGTTGTACGCAGCAAAACATGAAATACCACCAGTGTGTGCAAATATAAATATATATGTGACTGAAGTGATTATTTCAGAAATACACTACAATTCTGACTTTCACTAACTCAGATCTTCCCAATTCACCAAAGACAAATAGGTTTGGGCATTTAGTTCTATATGACTTGTGAAGAAATGAACACAACCCCCAAAATATTCACGTTATGGTTTAAACCAAAGCAAATTACTTCGACCTGTCATTGGGATTAACTGTAATTTTTCTGTAATACTGCATGTGGAACACAGAAATCAGATAAATATCTTTTGTCAATACCGTTGGCTGGAGCAAAGAAAGCCATTACTAGGAAATGTTGTGTAAAGATGCACCTGTACTTATTGACTGGATCAAAGTAGTTAACAAAATTTATGACATGGAGAGACTGACATTTCCATTGAGACTTTCTACTGCTAAATGTGACAGATATTTGAGGAAATGGGCCGATTACACCAAAACACTAAGTACTTGATAGTGCATTTATACCTTGGCTTCGATATGCTAATACTGTGAAGATAGATAATTATTATTTTACTCAGGAGCTGCTTACACCAGATGCTCTGAATATTATTTAGTTTTATTGTGGTCTACATTTTTGATTTGTTTTGTTCTATAAATGTATCAAAATGTTCAAACACATACAAGAATAAAGTTTGAAAGAAAAAAAACAAAACAAATTACTAACACCACTCATGTATTCATATGGCAAGTACATGCAGCGGCTAGTGCCACCAACCTTTTATAGTACATGTAATATATTTTGTTTGAGGAGTACTTTGCTAATTGCTAATGAAGTGTAAAACCACAACTAACTCTTACTACTTCTACTACAGTCATTCCTTTTACATTTACTACACTAACTCATTTAGGACCATCTTTTTCACATGCAGAAGAAACCACATCTAAATTAACCACTGACGTATGAACTTAGACTTTCATGTTCATTGTCATTAGATTGCAGGAATGGTGCCTGTGTGGGTGACAGTAAAGCTTGTCTTATTATCTGCATATATTACCGCACTGTGTGTGTGTCTCTGAAGGCCTCCCTGTCAGCTTCATAAAGAGGACTTCCTAACTGCTTTCTTCTCCTTAAAGCGCCTATGACAGGTTGGACAGCACATTTCACCAAAACACAGTGAAGATCATTATATTTAAGATTCTACTAAAGATTTTACTTTTCTTTTCCCAATATGGCAATTTTTTCAGATTAAAAATTTTACTTCCTGGTTGGAAATAGTTAGCCTGATTCATCAGCCGGTTTCACTTCGTAAAAAACGCCTGACCTTGCAGCGTTGGAATTTGTTCACTCGAAAGTAGGCGGGTACTTCTTTTTATTTAACCAATCGCTGCTATTTGGTCATGATGTATGTAATGCGCCGCTAACAGAACTAACTTTTATATTAAGCTTTTTCCAAATCCCATAAGAAGAAGAGCAATAATGTCTTTCCCCATGAAAAAATTCACCAAACATTCTCTTTTTCTGGTTTTAAATCCTCGATCTCAGGAATCATTGCTAACACAGAATGTATGACTCTTTGTTGCTTGGCTGGTGCCCGAACCTGCACTTCCGGGGTTTTTGCGAACCGTCTATTGCAGGGGTGTCAAACTCATTTTGGTCCGGGGGCCGTGTCCAACCTACTTTGATCCCAAAGGGGCCGGATCAGAAAACTCATGTCATATAAACCCCAAAAATAATAAGTTCAAATATTTGTGCAGAGAAATGCAAATCTATTACAGACATCTTTTTAAATTGATGAACTCTTTCTTATTATAATATTATAATATTATGAACAATCTGAAACTTTAAGAAAAATTCAATTTCAACACAATGTTTTAACATGAACTTGTATGCAAATAGGAATGTCAATTTTTGTTGTAAAATCCTGCACTCGGCTCCACTTTTCTCATTTTGGACATTTTGTTGATGAGGGTGTCACGGTCAACAGTCAAAACGATCGTCCTTTAAGAGCGTTTGGAAAAAGACAACTCTTCATTTGTGCTGCTCTGGTGGGAGGGGCCACGTACAGAGACACTGGAGATGCTGCTATGCTAAGCACCGCAGAAAATTACCAATATTTTAATAGAAAATATAATTAAAATATTTTAGTAGAAAATCACCCAAGGGCCACATTAAAGGTCTTGGAGGGCCGCATCTGGCCCCCGGGCCTTATGTTTGACACCTGTGGTCTATTGTATTCTGATTCCTGACCTAGTCGCTGGAGGGAAATGAAACTGAGCGGAGGTACTAGGTGGTGCCAGCCTGGCTAGAATATCATGGCATCACACTGGGCAATTCCAAAACTATCAATACATTCAATCAATCTAATACAATCCATTACCAACTATAATGTACACCGGGCCAAAACTGCTCTAAAGTACACAGAAATTATAATTTGATTAACAAAAACACAAGAAAACACTTTCTAGGGAAAATCTCCAAATCTCAAGGTACATATTATATGTATATATTATATTATTATTATTATATTATATATATATTTTGTTGTGATATTTTGTGGAGTCTAACAAAATTGTGAATATGCTACTTTTTCCTCTTAAAATCCCTAGACAAGACTTAACCCAAAGAACTAAGATATAAAAGTGCTTAGAACTGCTATTTCTTGATGTAGTTTGCACCAAAACAGAGCAAAGGATCATAGTTTATGTAGTTCCCTCTGTTTTTTAGCTATTGCAGCACCATAACTCTTAATTTAAGCAAAGAAACTTGTGATTTGATATATTGTGATGATGACCCACGATATTACTGAGAGGCTTTTGACTATACGATATCACAATATTTTGATTATTGTTACACCCCTATTATTTTTGTTGAAATAATGTTCAAAGTAACAGAAAAAAGTTGTTCTTGCATGTAAATTGGAACAAAACTTTGGACAGAATTTTCCCTAACGTGACATTCTTCTTTTCACTTTCAACATATTTTTTGACTTTTCTTGGCAAACTGCCTCTTGATTTGTGTAAAACTAGAATTTATATTTACAACAGGTTTATCCCACCAAATTAAGGTGAAATTAGAAAATCTGAAAAACCTGTCATACATACTGTAGGTCTGTTGCAGAATAGCCTATAAATATAAGTATGTGTTTCAAGAAGACCATTGTCAATGAACAATTTTAAACTGAAGTATTAGACCGTTAGAGTGGGTGAGATTCCTCAAAACTCCTTCAAAACAACATGCCAAGTGTAAAAGTCAGGCAGCAGGTTTTGACCCAAGTTTCCAAGTGATTTTTCCGACTTGGGGTAGCATTTATGTGCATTTTTTACTTGGAATTTTTTCCAGTCAAATTCCACAAATGCCCATATGCCTCTCAGACTACTACTCCAACTTTTACTCCTGCCTACTCCCTGACAGACACAAATAAATAATAAAAAATAAAACTATGCAAAATCAAAAAGGAGAGCTATGGTTTAAAGGTGCACTGTGCAACTTTTCTGGTGGAGGGTTCGCGATTTGTTGTCTCCATGGAGATGTTCTTGCTTTGTGTAGAACTTAGACTTAGACAAACTTTACTGATCCACAAGGGAACCTATTTGGACACAGAAGCTCCCACATCCCAATAAATATAATAACAAAAATAAAAAATAAAATAAATTAAAAATAAATTAAATGGTAAAAAATAAATTCTAGTATTTAGTAGCAAAAAGGAACAGCAAGAGACATGTGTCAAATAAGACATAATTATTAAATGTAAAATGTAATGTAAAAAGAAATTTATCTATCGCAAGGGAGACAACAGTAGCTCATTACAGGTCAGATTTGTGGAGAGGCAACCCTACTCAGAGAGAGAATTATTGTGTTTTTGAGCACCCATAATTATTATTCTTTATTTCAGACACAAATATTATTCGGTGCATAGTTTAAAAGAAAAATAGGATACAAAAAAACAAATAAACAAACAAACAAACATACAAAGTGCCCAAATTAATCCATAAAGTTCATTAAAAAGTGTGGAGTTTCTGTGCCCAGAGCAGAGGTGTAACGGCATGAGCTCATTTCCGGATTGGTCATAAAAGTCAAAGTCATAAAGCAGTCATAATGAATAAATGCTAGATAGATGTGTTTAAAGTCATACCGTGGAATAGTAACATCTCCATGGAGACAAGCAGGTGACGGATCCTCCAGCAGAAAAGTTGCACAAAACACTACTGACATGTCATTTACACAATATATGCTCAAAGTGTGCTGTTGAAAGATTGAAATTGTGGGCACATTTATGGTGAGTGCCAAGTGGAGTAACTGAATGCTAAACGGATACACTTGTGGAGTCTCATTAGCTCGCGCGCTCATTATAGCATCCGTTCTTATAATCGTCTATTTATGCATTCTGGGGCAGGGCCAGGCAGAGGCAGAGGCAGAGATCCTAGCATCTGCCGGAGTAGCGTTTAGTACATGCAGTAACAGTAAACAACTCATTAGATTACACGGTTTAGTCTCACTTAATGGATTAGTCTGAATAAGTGTTTCATTCAGCCCAATCTCGAGTGTTTGAGTGGAGTTGAGTTCACGCACGCAAGTTTGCTCATTATTTGTGGATATTTGTTTTCAAAAGGGAGATGAGGACTACATGAAGTACAATCAGTGATCACCTCATTATATTTATTTTTAAAAATGTATTTATTTATTTGAGCATCAGTTAAAAAGCACGCAATGACACATGCGGTTCACTAAGGCTGTGCAATTAATTGAATTTTGATCGTGATTTCAACTTGTGTGTCAAACGACCTCCAGACTCTTATAATTGTGATACTTTCATGTTTTTCTATGCCTTATTTCATGTTCAAAGTATGCTTTATTAATTTTATGTTTTATACATCGCAAAACTGCTCTAAGATACATATTTGTAGCCTATATTTATTTTCAATTTGAAAGTTTTGCATAAATGATCAATAACTAAGTGTTTTTTTAGAGACAAATGCTAAATAAATGCATAGTGTAACTATAAAATTATCGTTTGAGTAATCGTGATTTCAATATTGACCAAAATAATCGTGATAATGATTTTTTCCATAATCGAGCAGCCCTACAATTCACAGTAGTTACATAAAAAAGATCAATTGTGAACAATAATATATTAAGGAGTCCATGATGCTCAAAAGGAGTAGGAGGAAGCTGCTGATGTAAATGGGCCATACCTGGGGCTGTACAATTACTCACATTTTACAGAGGCAGGAATTCTGTCATTTCTGATAATCAATGATCAGCTTGAGTGTTTTAATCAAGAGGCCCACAGCCAATTCTCTGTTAGTAAAATCATGTGGCCTTGAGTAGACTTTGGAGAAAGAAATTTGAAATGTAAACAAAAATTATTAAGGGTAAAGAAATCGTAAGTAAAATGTGTTTTGCCCCAGCACAGATGTATTGTTCAAGCAGCTCTTAGGGTCAAACTGAGATCGCTATGTGCTGTTTACATCTATAAAGCCTTTTTACTCGCTGCAAACCATGAAGTGTGCTGTTAACAGTGGTACTCAATGTTCATACTTAAGTAAAAGTACAGATACCATAGCAAAAAATACTCAAGTAAAAGTATCACATGAAAAAAACAACTTAAGTAAAAGTATTAAAGTATCAGTTTAGGTAAGGAAAGTAAAAGTAAGTAAAGTATTTTGCACAGAGTTTGAGTTCTAACAAAGTTTCAGATGTACTCATTTTGGTTTTAGATTGTAATCAAAGTCTGTGCTGAACATAACCTTTTTTTATTTGTTTGTTGCCATAATTCAAATAGCAAATGGGTTAAAAATAAACCCCCAGCCTTTTTGTTGCAGGTCTCAAACTAAAATAATAATAATTTAAAAAAAACATTTACTTTTCAGTCCTGTTCAAAGATGTAATGGAGGAGAAAGTACAGACACATGCTCTCCAATGTCGTGAAGTAAAAGCAAAAAGTATCCAGTTCAAGATCACAAATACCTAATATTTGTAGTTAAGTAGAGCATTTAACTGCTTTTACTTTATCACGTTCTGTTGGCATACAAGTAGTTTTTGGGGTAAGCCCTATGTTCCTTGGGATGAATATCTGAATGATCATGAAGCTTGTCTACATGAAAATACTCAGACATTTTTTATAATATTCTACATGTAGTTTGTGACATACAATGCACTCAAATGGTGTATCCTGTATCCTTTGCTGTTTAACTATTATACAATGCAAATCACTATATCTGCTTTAGACTGACTTGGAAGTTAAGTTGCTCATATATATATAAAGAATGTTTAAAAGGAATATATAATACTTGATTCTTTCATCAGCAGTTCAATAGTATAATGGTATAATACTACCTTAACATTAACGCTCGTACACAATGGAGATTTAAGTGTGTTTCAGTGTAGATGGAAGGTGGAATGACGTGAGGAGCGATAGCAGCTAAAAGTGAGAAAAGCATGGTACAAAAATAACTTCTGTGAAAAGGAAAGACACTCACCCGTCTGTGTCCTGAAAGTTCACATTGACTTTCTTCGTCGAACCCAAGAGCTCTGGAAAACAAAAGAAAGACAGCCGTCATTGATTTGCAGCTAGTAAACAAGTGATATGTAAACTACTGTTGCGTTTTATCCAACCCGCCGATATTGGCGTTGTGAATAGAGACTTGTCTTTTTGTGTCAGATGTAAATGGAGTTCTTCCTGCTGACTCATATCATCATATTTCTGTTCCTGCTGTTTTCACCAATTGCTATGTGTTTGATTTGAGCTTCCTGTGGTGATAATACTTGAACTGTCTCTGTTCTCAATGGCCTGGGATGAATGACTAGAATTTGAACATTTTTCCATCTAAAAAATGACATCTCAACAAATACACAAATCATTTCTATGGTGGATTCATTCATCTGTTTATTCTCAGTATTGATTGATAGCGGAAGCAATGCGGTCGTGCCACGGACTGTGTTTGCCCCAGTAATGAAGGAGCAGCAGGATGACAGCGCCCTCTTCTGTCCAACCACCAAAGACCATGAGATCATGCTCCAACAAGTTCGCCATTTACAAGAGGGAGACCTACCTAATAGATTGGGACAAGGCTAAGGTCATAGGTAAAGAGAACAACAAATAATATGGATCAGGGAGGCCAGGTTGATCTGGAAACGTGCCCTTAGACCGTAACCTGGGACGAGGTAACATAATAACGCTCTCATACCTGGGATACAGTTCTGAGGAAGCTAAACAGCACATAGAGCTGTTGTCCTACTGCTGCAAGTAGGAAGACAGTGCCAAAGTCTCTTTAAATCAGCTGACCAATCACTGACCAATTCTGAGTAAGGCAGCCAAGTTCAGCTAAAACATATTAAGATATAACACGAAAATGCAGCTCTGATTATAGAGTTCATGAAAGAACATCAAAAACCAGCCATTACTCTAAATGTGCCGTGTTTCTGACAGCAGTGCAAAACTCTCATAAGCCTCAGTCACACATGCAAAAGTAATGGGTAAAGATTATCAGTATGAACCAAGCAAAATAGTCTCAGAATAGAGTTAGACTGATATAGGGCTGATACTTGGTGGACTTTTTAGTAGGGCTGGGTATCATTAAGAAGTTGCCAATACGATACATATCTCGATACATAAGCCATGATACGATACATATCTCGACACAATGCACTTTTGAGTCAATGCGATACATTTCAAATCAATTTGATATGGTTCAATAAAAAACAATGACTAAATCATGGCTGTGATACTAAGTCTTTGTTAAACCATTTCTTGTGTAAAGTGAATATGAAACACACCCATTTTAATCTTCAAAACAGTGAAAATATCAAATGTGTTGCATAAACAAGTTTCCTACCTCTAAACAAACAACAAAACTGTAGCGCTGTAACAAAATAATTTAGTAAAACATACCAAAATATACTCTTGGTGATATATCGATACAGCAGTCCCTGATTTCAATACTGTATCATCACATTGAACGATACAATATATCGATATTTCGGGCCTTAAATCTCCAGCAAATGCAGATATTTAGTTTTGGTCAATCTGCTTCCTAAAAAATACAAAGCTTTACCTGCACAAAACATGACTAAACAGCTCTCTTATAAGTTTGTGGTTAAAAAAAAGGCTCTGCGGGGAGTTTGTAGTAAATTTAAATTACATAATGGGAAGAATAATCAAAATTGGCAGAGCTTATTGGCCATCAGTTGCTCTATATTTGAAACAATCAGCATCGGCCATGAAAAAACCCACATTGGTCGATCTCTATCCCAGAAAGAACATTGCTGAGTCTGCACTATTCACATATAACCAACAAAAACACAGGTCTGACTATAAGAATCTTTATTATTAATTATTAACCGAAGCCCACCAGCTTTATATAGACCTACTCTTGCTGAAAAGTACAATAATAATAATTTCAGATTTCTTCGTGTGATTCATCCCTGTTCCATCCATTTGAGCTTGTTTTTCAGGCACTGTGAGCGGAAGTGAGGAAGAGCAGAGAGGAGCAGAGACACACAGAGACTCCAGGAAGCAGGACAGTGGCCCTATTGTAGCTCAGACAGCTCCCAGCGCGACGGGCACAAAGACATCGATTTCCTCACATCTCGGTCCTGCCAGCTAAATACAGACGTCCACTGACACAAGGCAGACGCTGCACATAACACAGAGACATTAGACAACACAAAACGAATGCACAGAAACAGGCTTGTACTGTGGTATTTTTGCACACTGATGAAAAGCTAATGTTTAAAGCAGGCACAGGGCTTTGATTATTGTGACCAAGGCAAGCTGTAATCGTGAAAGTATTGCAAGTATTAGTTGTAGTAGCTGTAGTCAGAGTTAGGACCAAGTTGTTGTTTTGCAAGTCTCAAGTAAGTCTCAAGTCTTTGACCTCAAGTCCCAAGTCAAATACAGGCAAGTCCAAGTCGAGTCTCAAGTCACTGGTCCATAAGTCAAAGTCAAGTCCAAGTTGTTTGCTTTGAGCTTCAAGTCATTTCAAGTCTTTAAACCAAAATACCAAATATAGCTTCGATTTTTGCAATTTATCTGACTTTTAAGATAATACGTACTTTAAAAAAATCATAGTATATTTATATTTGATAATTTCTACAACTCTTATATAAATAAATGTAGTTAATTTTTCCTTTTTTTGACAAGATCTTAGAGTGAATCAGTATGATGAGAATAGGAAGAATTCAGATTTAAAAGTGCTTCTCAAGTCTTCTCAAGTCACAGGCCTCAAGTCCAAGTCAAGTCCCAAGTCTTACTCCATTTTATCAAGTCAAGTCTCAAGTCCTAAAAATAGTCTCTCAAGTCTGACTCGAGTCCAAGTCATGACTTGCAAGTCCCCACCTCTGGTACTTATAGTAGTCAGTGTTGTGGCTGTAGTAGTCACAGTTGGATAGTTGTATTGGAAGTAATAGACTTAAACTTACACAAACATTTTAGGGAAATAATTTGGGCACAGTAGCTCACACAACACAATAAATATAATAACAAAGAGCAAAAATATAAATGGTAATAATAAATTCTTAATAAGTAGCAAAAACGATAAAAAGAGACAGGTGTCAAATAAGACATAATTATATAACTGTAAATGCACAGTATAAATAAAATAGAAAGATAAGTAATAAAATATAAATGAGTCTAGTCAAGTAGTAATATTTGAAGTAGTAGTAGTGAGTAAGTGTTATGTATACAGACTCATGTACATCTGAACTATTAAACTACTGATGTTTTGGATTTGGAGTTATAGCAGAAAGTCAACACATGTGTCACAGGACATCCCCATCCCGTTAAGCCGTGTAACTATGACCTTTTGACCCTGCATCGCTATGACGACTGATGATCAGGCATGACCCCTGCTGCTGTGAAGTTCCTTTATGAGGCTGGAAAAGTGCACCCACCCAGTGGAACATGACCAGAAATCCCCTCTTTAATCTGATGGGACGGGTTTGTGTGGGAAAACTCTGGCTGTATGAATGTGACAGAGGCCAGGTGTGCAGCTTCTGGTATGACGTTTAAATACTGAGTCAAATCATATTAGCAGAAATTACAACTGCAAGATCTTAAAGGGCCTGTATTATGTCCTTTTTTTTTTTTGGAGTATTTATAGGCACCATGTTAATAGTGTTTAATGGTGCACTTGGGAACTTTTTCCAGTGGAGGGTCTGACTGCTTATCTCCATGGAGAATAGGGCTGGGTATCATTAAGAAGTTGTCGATACGATACATACCTCGATACATAGGCCACGATACGATACATACCTCGATACATAGGCCATGATACAGTGCACTTTGATTCAATATGATATATTTTAAATAGATTTGATACAGTTCAATAAAAAATAATGGGTAATTCATGGCTGCTATTTTAAAAGTCTTTGTTAAACCACTTCCTTTTCAAAGTTAATATGAAGCACATCTATTTTAACCATCAAAACAGTGAAAATGTCAAATGTGTTGCATAAACGAGTTTCCTTCCTCTAAACCAGGGGTCTCCAACCTGTAGCTCCACCCCCTTCCAAGTAGCTCGCCAAGGGATTTCTGAATCACACATATTGTGCTGAATAAGTAAAATTTTATTAATTAAATGCCTATTACCATTGTACAAGTATTATTTTGATGCCTAATTTTGTACACTAATAAATTAATAATGGTTTATGTTTTATAGGCGTCAAACTGTACTTCATCTAAGACTTGTCAAGGCTCTTATACATACGCAATTTCTTGTGACCGCTAAAACTAGTAGCTCTCTGGCATTTTCGTTTTGTAAAAGTAGCTCACTCGAGAAAAAGTTTGGAGACCCCTGCTCTAAACAAACAACAAAACTGTAGCACTGAAACAATATAACTGAGTAAAATATACCAAAAAATACTTGATATATCAATACAGCAGTCCCAGATATCAATACTGTATCATCACATTAAAGGAGACGATATATCAATATTTCGATATTTCTGCACAGATCTACTGGAGATATTACTGTTTTGCCTGGAATGTTACACAGTATGACATTAAACATACAGCATGTATATCATCCAATGATACCACCAGGCCAAGTTAAGTCACATCTGTGGCTTCAGTATAAAGAAAGGAGGGAAAAACAGGTGACTGAAACTGGATTTAGCAGAATCACAGTGAAGACAGAAACACTGTTAATCCGAGGTGAGAGAAGTTTGGTTTTATTCTAAATTACAGAGGACCAAAGAACTCCTCCATGTCTCATAAACAAACACAGACACGTATGAGTCTGGCCGGAGACGGAGCGGATGGTGAACAAACTGTGGGATCGTCTGTACAGCCTGTAGTGCAAGAACCTTTTTCAGTGTCTCTCAGCAATGAGTTACTGTGGAACATTTGAAGCAAAGCAACAACAAGCTCTTCAAAAAATGACATTGTTCACATTCAATAAAAAAAAGTAGGTTATATAATGCTTAGGGAATATTTTGGAGAGCTTGTCCTGTCACTGCGCAGGGAATATTTGGATAACAAAACTGTAATGAGTGTCAAACAGCTGGTGTATAATAACCAGTCATATTTTTGC